GCTTATTTCACAGCCGGATTTTGCGAGCTATAGTAATTGAAATACTATATGTTCGTCCAACAACATGTTATGTAAAATAAATGCATCGACGGACATCTTTAAGAAAATTGATATATTTATTTCATATCTGAAAGACAATATATAACTTTACTTCTAGTAGAGTTTCGTTTTGTTTAGGAATATTCTTTCATAATTTTCTATAGAAAAATACTCCAAAATGTATTAGAATTCCAGTTTTATCTATCTTTATGTACCTTTTATTTTGTCAGTTTGTCCAAAAAAAGTCATAAAGTTGTTGGAACCATTGGTTACAAAAATGAGTCTGTAATATTGTGTAAAATTCAGTAGTAAAGATTGGAGGACGTTTTGGTTGTGTGAAATATATTCAGGGTAGGGAAGTTCGCAACACTACTATTATAAACTGATATTATTTATTTATTGTTAATAACTGCATTGCCTATTAAAACTGTTCAAGAGTCAGGAATCTATGACATCTAATTTTTTAATTTTGTTTCTTGATTCGATTTTTTGTTCAAAATTAATAGAAGAAATAGAAGACATGTCATTATTCCTTGAAATTTCGTTTAATGCTACCAGACCGATAAAAGCTGATACCATTTTGTAAATCCTCTGTTTTATAAACTGTCAGTACTAAATAAAGCAGAATAGAAATTTTGTGATCAGGCAAGTACAAAATATAGAAATCCTGACATAATTCAACAAGTAATCACCATTCATCCTTCAAAAATTGAACACATTGAGTAGTAAAAACCTCACTCAAAACAAAGGGTAGAATTAACTACATGTAGGTAACATGTGTTTTAGTTGGTATTTCATAAATGTTTACCACACATTTTAATCAGTTTAAATAATTACCATGCTTAAATTCCACTTACAAAAATGAATAGATATACCAAAATCCTTAACTATGAAAATATCTCTATGAAATCATATTAACTGATACGACAACCTTTCGAAATGAATTGGGATGTTAATTTATGCTTTAATTTAGTTGTATGAGATATTGGCTATAAAATGACACAAAAAACGAAATCTAGAGAACAACAACAAAAAGAACATAACTATTCAAACCACTATTTAATTATAATTACATTACATGTATGTTTCATTATAATACGTTATTTTGATTGGCTAACACCAATCTCGCGTCATTCTGAAATTAATCTTCATTTCAAAATGAAATGTAACATTTATGATGACACGAGCTTCCACAATAAAGTGCACAGGTAAATAAAAGAAAAACTTGATAGAAATCGTGTTTATAATGATCCTAACAAAAAAAATGTAATTATAAGTATTGAAAGCTTCTTTTTGTAATTTTATAGGGTTGTAAAAGCGTTGACCGTGCGCACATTTTTAGAATGAAGAAACTGTACTTCGGTCAACGTTTTTAAACCCAATAAATTTACAAAAATAAACATTCAGTTCTTAAATGATTTTTGATTGTTGAATATATGGGCTTTATGGAATACATTAAAATTAGAATACATTAAAATTAGTGCAATTTTTTTTCATCGAATTTTGCCATACAATTTCCTGCATTAAGACGCACAATAAAGTACGTTTTATCTTTTTCTATAAGTGTTGTGGAAATCAAAGCAGTGTGTTACTATAATACTGAAACTGGGAAAATGTATCAAGTAATGTTTTACAAGACATACACTAGTAACCTCTATCATGAAAAAGCATTAACAATTATTGATCATAAAATCGCTTCATTAATTTATAAAAACGAATCAATTTTATATTTCATCACAGTATGAAGTTGTTCATTTGATCGAGTAAAGCCATCAGTTTATGTCTGACAACTATTGGTTGTTTGTGTTTGTTCAGGATGACAACAAAGCTTACTTGCATTACTGTAATCTCCATTCTCATAACAGGATTGGCATTTCAGCAAGGTAAGATTATAATACTGGTTAGATTAAAAAGAATGAAGGTTTAAACGTAAAATTAGTTAAAATTACCAAACTTGGTAAATAATACATTAGAATTTATTTTTTTTAGTACAGAAGTCAGATTTTTATAAGTAAAAGTATTGCTGACCATATTTTTGAGAATATTTCATGAAAATGGTTGCTTGGTTGAAAGACTCGAGAAAAAAACGAACAAAACCAAAAAACACAGGAATAAACAGGTTCTAATCCGAAAAAGCTATTTATAAAAATTAATCACTGACAAAATCTTGATAATAAAGGCAGGTACCCGCTTGATGAAGATGTTCCTTATAAGTATTCCCATAGACACCAATTGTGCCCCTTTAATAGCAGACGTACTCCTGTACTGTGATAAATCACAGTTTATAGCCAAACTTATTAAAAACTGACTGAGTTCCATTTAGTTGATAAATTCAGCAACACTTATCGATATGCTGATGATATTTTTCCTATAAATAAAAAAGAATTCTCTAAATATACGGAAGAAATTTACCCAAAGGAACATACTTAAATCAATTATAAACAAGAATAACTGCCCTTTCCTATCTTTAGATATTTCAGTTTTACACAAAAAATTACGACACAAGTTACGATTTTTCGTTCCCTATTGTTAATTTTCCTTTTTTTGGACGGTGATGTTCCTTTGACACTTTCTTACGGTGTTTATATATCCCAACTCGTTCGCTATGCACGCGTCTGTAGTGACGTTTTGGATTTCATTAAACATAATCTATTATATATTATTGGTAAATTTTTAAGTCGTCAAGGATTTCATTAACACAAATTACTTAAAACCTTTACTAAATTCTTTCAAAGATACAAAGAATTAGTTTGGAAGTTTGGTGGTACCTATAGAATATTTATTACACACGGGATAGCACATTCTAATTTTGACGGTGATATTGTTAACCGAGCCGGTAAATTTAGATACTATCCGGGTAAACTTATCGATCCTGTTGATTAAATTATTCTAAAACGTTACCAGTTCACTGTTATTAGAACTTTGAATATTGTTTTTATCGGTATGAATATCAATAAATCAAAACCCAACTAATTATTATTGCTATACACATATGTATATTTACGACCCTAAAATCTGTCGATACCTTTGGCATTGCACAAGGTCATGTTTTTGTCTGACTGTTAATGACGTCTTTACACTAAATCCGTTAGAAGCTGCGGCTCTTTTCACAAAAAATCTTAAGAGTAAAATTACTCGTAAGTCATACACATTTCAGTATAACTTACGATCAATTTTAATCGTAAGATTTTTTGTGAAAAGAGTCGCAGGATCTTAACTGATTGATGTTTTAGTCTTAGATACGTGATTTTTTCAGTAGCTGTTGTTGGCTCTGAACAAGCTTTCAGTGACTGCAAGTACTGTCAGATCTATAACATTGTGTCTTTTGTGTTTGTTAGTTGTTTTTGTCCTTTGTATCGATCTGATGAGTAAAGCCCTTTTTAACTGATTTCTATAGTTTGTTCTTTTCTTGTGCTGTTACACCACTGTCCCAGGTTAGGGGAGGGTTGGCGTGCCTGCAAACATGTTTAACCCCGCCACATTCTGTATGTGTCAGCTGTCGCAAGTAAGGAGTCTGTATTCTAGTGGTTGTCGTTTGTTGCTGTTTTTCATATTTGTTTTTCGTTTATTGTTTTGTACATAAATGAGAACGTTCTTTTTCTAGTTTGAATAATCTACATTTGTTTTTTTTTTTTGACCTTTTCTTGCTATGCGGTATGGCTTTTGCTCATTGTTAAAAGTCATACGGTGACCTATAGGTCATAACTTTCTACGTCATTTGGTCTCTGGTGGAGAGTTGTCTCATTGTCAATGATACCACATCTTCTTATTTTTATAAAAGAAAGAATACATACAAAATTACATTTTTTTCTTCATTTAAGTTGTATCTACCAACATATCGATAATCAATAATATGTGTTTTGTATTATTATCCGATCGGCCAATACTATTATTCTACCAATGGCACATTGCTGTCACTGATATTATAAGCTATAAAGGAAAACTTGACAATTATTTCAAATTTAAGGCCCACTCTGACACAGAAAATGTAAACCAGAAATTGGAAAACATAGTTGATCCAAATCCTTGTAACAAATACAGGTTTGACAAAAAAAGCGAGAAGATATCAACAAGGCTATTCTAAAAAGTCCAGTAAAAATAGATAACATCATGAAAAAAACAAAAACGACGAAAAAGACAAGCAGCAGTCATAAAACACTACATAAAAAATAAAGATTGAGCAACACAAATCCAGCAAAAAACAGAGATTAACTCAGGTGAATTTGAATTTCAATGTTCTACAAAAATGTATCAACAGCGTTCAAAAGAACGTCTAGTAAATGTTTTACAAAATGTATAAAGACGTCAAATCCGATGCCTCGCGAAGGGAGAGTGACACGCGCTCTGAGTATTAAAGAATCCTTGTAACAACCATTATAAAGGTTCCTATATGTCCTGTTGCAAGGCAAATTTTCTGTCCCTATCTCCATACCTTCAATTTCCAGTCCTAGTCGAAACCTCCTTCCTTCATTCCGGTCGACCCACTTGCAAAACTGTTGCGCGTTTATTGCTGTTGTCGTTCTTAATATGCATGAAACTATTTTCCACTGGAAGTTAAGCAAACAATCAGTAAATCATGTATCATAAATTTGTTTTAGGAAACGAAATCGATATAACACGATTTTTGATCCTCCCCTCAAGTACACTTTGTTTGGTTGTTAACTGTTAATGCATCATAGAAAACCACGTGTCGATTCAATATTCTAACAGAGACTAGAGTGAAAAAAAGGAGAGACAAAACGGAATCAAGATGCCAATCCAGAGAAATTTGTTTTGTATTGAAATGTTTGCAATAAATGTAAGTCTGTGTAAAACAACATTAAAATATTTATATGATTCATGCTTGGTTTTTGCATGCGTTCATAAATAATAATAGTATAAAAAAGTTCTAATATTCCAAGTAAAAGAAACATTATGAATATGTATCAAATATTAATATGATCGTGTTGACATATTTTCAGGTTACTCTCAAACAACCAATTCAAGTGACAGCGGGTTAACACTGCAATTAACAGGGCCAAATATAGTATCTGATGTTACACCTGAAACTGAAGTAGAGTTAACTGCTGAAACAGAAGTTACAAGTGAATCAGAAACGGAATCCGAGGTCACATCTGAACCAGAGTCTGAATCAGAGGTTACACCTGAAACCGAACCAGAATCTGAGGTTACACTTGAACCGGAGACAGAATCTGAGTTTACACCTGAACCAGAGACAGAATCCGCGGTTACACCTGAAACCGAACCAGAATCAGAGGTTACAACTGAACCAGAGACAGAATCTGAGGGTACACCTGAACCGGAGACAGAATCTGAAGTCACATCTGAACTAGGGTATGAATCGGAAGTTACACCTGAAACTGAACAAGAATCTGAAGTAACACCTGAACCAGAGACAGAATCTGAAGTTACATCTGAGCCAGAGTCTGAATCAGAGTTTACACCTGAAACCGAAACAGAATCTGAGGTTACACCTGAAACTGAACCAGAATCTGAGGTTACACCTGAACCAGAGACAGAATCTGAAATTACATCTGAAGCAGAGTCCGAATCAGAGGTTACACCTAAAACCGAACCAGAATCTGAGGTTACACCTGAACCAGAGACAGAATCTGAGGTCACATCTGAGCCAGTGTCTGACCCAGAGGTTACACCTGAGACTGAACCAGAATCTGAGGTTACACCTGAACCAGAGACAGAATCCGAAGTTACCCCTGAATCAGAGGTTACATCTGCAACCGAACCCGAATCTGAACCGGAGACAGAACCCGAAGTTACACCTGAACTAGAGTCTGAATCAGAGGTTACACCTGAAACCGAACCAGAATCTGAGGTTACACCCGAATCAGAGACAGGATCTGAGGTTACACCTGAACCAGAGACAGAATCCGAGGTTACACCTGAACCGGAGACAGAATCCGAGGTTACACCTGAACCAGAGTCTGAATCAGAGGTTACACCTGAAACTGAACCAGAATCTGAGGTTACAGCTGAACCAGAGACAGAATCTGAAGTTACATCTGAACCAGAGTCTGAATTTGAAGTTACACCTGAAACCGAACCAGAGTCTGAGGTTACTTCTGATCCAGAGTCAGAATCTGAGATTACTCCTGAACCAGAGACAGAATCTGAGGTTACACCTGAACCAGAGACAGAATCCGAGGTTACACCTGAACCGGAGACAGAATCCGAGGTTACACCTGAACCAGAGTCTGAATCAGAGGTTACACCTGAAACCGAACCTGGATTTGAGGTTACGTCTGAACCAGAATCAGAAGGAGAAATGTCGTCCGAGCCTGAAGCGACAGCGGAACACTTAGTAGAACCCGAAGCTACCGCGGAAACAACCTCAGCTGAACCATCCGCTGTTGAAATAATGGTCCCGCCCTTTGTATTGGTAGTTTTGGTCGTGCTTGGTGAGTACGTCTGAATTAAAAAAAAAAAAGAAAGAAATATAACAGACTGGGATATTCCTTACTTTAAGATAAATGATAGAAAATATGATAAAATGCCCAAAAAATAAGCAAATATTTTTGCATTTGAAATCCGATTTTTACTATTAGGAATAATTTAAATGTATATGATAACATGTATACCATTGCAAGAGATTTATATGTGACAAATAGTTCCATCAACCTCGTCGTCATTCTCACGCGAAAATTCGGATATAGAAATTTGCAGTCACAAATATTACACATTCAATTATCTATCTTAATCAAAACTCCTTAGATGCGATTAATTTCAATTGTTGATTATTATAAAAATATGGAGATGTGGTATGATTGCCAATGAGACAACTATCCACCAAAGTTCAAATGAAGTGGATGTAAGCAATTAGAGGCAACCGTACGGCCTTCAACTATGAGAAAAACCCATACCGTATAGTCTGCTATAAAAGGCATCGACATGAAAAATATGAAATAATTCAATTTCGAAAACTAACGGCATAAATTAAACAAAACAGTTTACGAAAAACAAATATGACATACATGAACCAACGACAACCACTGAACTTCAGGCTCCTGACTTGGGACAGGCACATATAGAATGTGGCATTGTTAAACTAGTTTGCTGTCGCCAAACCTTCCCTCTAACCTGGGACAGTGGTGTAACAGTACAACATAAGAACAAACTATAAAAATCAGTTGAAAAGGGCTTAACTCATCAGATCGATACAAAACAGAAAACATCTAACGAAAACACAGACTGGACGTGTCAGCGTATCTATATATCACACAACAACAAAAAATACACTAAGAAAAGATCTGAGAGTACTCGCTGTTACTGACAGCTACTTCAAAGCCAATAACAGCTACATGTAATAAAAAATCATGTACCTAAGACTAAAATATCAATCAGTACACATCCAACATCCAATGCATTTAGTGTAAAGACGTCATTAACAGTCAAAGAAAAACATGGCCTTGTGCAATGCCAAAATACAGATTGTAGTACCGTGAATGAGCATATGTGTATCTTGCCTGTTTTCTCTGCCTTTCAACTTTTCTTTTATTTTGTGAATTCTCATATATCTCGACCTCAAACTTCACTGAAGAGACTTATCTATTGAAATCTGATGGAAATGAAGTGACATGATATAATATATTTAATAATTACGCAAGATCCATATTCTCACAAGTGATAAAACAAAGCAAAGGAACAGCGCTTTTACTGATGTTCTTCGTTTCAAAATAGTTTGTTCAACTCTATAACAATGAAAGTGACAATAAGTGGGATCCAGCAGCCAAAATTGTGTAAACATACATCACAGACATGCAACACAACTGACTTAAATATTCAAACAAACTAAAAATACTACTAGTATATCGCCAAGAGTCTAGAAAAGCTGTGAGTGAATTCAACAGAGACTATCAAGTTCTTCAATTATCGGTTAATCAAAATTCATTAAGCAAAAAAATTAAGATATCTCTATTTCTCCAGATTTAAAAAAATTAAAATCTTATCAACAGAGAAGGGAATCTGTTCAATAGAAACCTTTAGTTAGTAAGGATAATGTTAGGAGACGTACCAGCAACTTTAATAGTTCTGAGGGGGTGGACAGCTTTTGAGGGAGGTGGGAGGAAGGGGGGGTGGGGGGGGGGCGGGAGGTGGGAGAGAAAAAAAGATTCTAAAAGTGGGAGGTGGGAGATAGGGGCGGGAGGTGGGAGAAGGGTACCCCATTGTCCACCCCCTCAGTTCTAATATGATGAACTTTAACAGTTTATTATTAAAAAAATGTTATGCACTGGTTATGCACGATATATCATTTAAATGCAAATAAATATTAAATATATGAAAATAAATTTTGCAACAAAATCGACTGTATATGGTATTGTTGATTTCATCTTCAATCCTTGATTTCAATATAATTACATGTCCAACAGCTGTCTTATTTGTCTCTTGAGTTATGTATTTAAAACTATTTTTTTGTTTGCCTATTGAGTCAACCAATACCAATCTTTTACATGATTAGAAAAAGACTAACTGGTTTTATATAAAGGGATCAGTACAATATTATTTATTAATTCTTACATGAGATATCTTTCCTTTTTATATTTTTGTCAGCAATGATTGGTCTGTATGCACATAGTAACTGCCGGAAACGCCCAGTGGGGATCACAAGAAAGCGGAAGATGGAATCTGCAATTAATATTATCGATTTAGAAGAATACAACGATCTCTCTAAAGATGAACCGCCATTTCTTTCTCCGTTTGACAATGAAGTCATTGAAGCATTTCAGACACATCATAACAGACCACTTGACTTACTGAAAATAGCCTTCCCTGCATTGTTATCACTGGCTCTATGTCCATTCACGTTGTACTTATATTCGCCATTAACAACATTCATTTGGCCTAAAGCAGAATTCCCGAACGCACCGGATATTAATGATGCCATTGCATGTTTTCTAGCACCTGCTGGACTGGTCTATGCTACTTCTTTTGGGTTTGCATTTCAGCAAGCATTGTCGAAACAAATACATATCATGGACAAGGTGACGAAGGAAATAAGCATGATCGACCAGATAGCTACGTTCTGTACAAGAATAAATTTACCAAAGCCAAGTATGCGTCGGCGTGTATACAGATGTGTCAAATCAGAGATCATTTTTATGATTTTACAGATACTGGATAGACGACCAGATTCATTTCAAGAAAAACCTGACGAAAATGTTAAAAGTAAGTTTGAATAGGAATACTACGGAAGCGTATTAGCGCCACACATTGTTTTATATATTTCTTCCTATGTTTCAAGTTCAAAAAGGACAAATAAAGTACGAAGTTGAAGAGCATTGCCGATGTAAGAGGTAACTGCTTTACATTATACTTGTTGAATAATTTAAATCAAAATATTCTTGGAAAGGCATTTAAAAGGTTGGATATAATTGAAAGATTCAATTGCAAAGAGCCACCCTTCACCAGTTAATGTTGTAAGTGAGTATAAAAAATGAAATACTTGATTGTATTTTGCTACATTATAAAATGAAGAGTAGATTGGAATATTTTCAAGATCATAATGAAATTTTGTCATCAAGTTTTATTCATGCTGCATTTTGCATTTACTCTTAAATTGTGTTGGACTATACATAGGAGGAAACATAATTATTAGAAAGGAATGAAAACTACAGGATAGGATATTGAAATAATATACGAGATGATAGTGTTTATAAAATACCTCCTCCAAAAAAATAGTTTAACCGTTATGTTACAACTATTTTTAGAAATGATATATTTCATTAGTCGTACGTTTTTTTTTACATTGATATTGAATGATATGAATCATTTTTTTTTTTGTATTCATAACAAAAACTATTACCATAAGATAAAATATTAACACGTCTTCGTTCAAAATATATTACATGCAAAACAATCACTTAGTCTAAGTTCAATAAAAACCTATACTGATTTTATGAAATCCATGATTTCAGCAAAAACTTTTAAACGCCCAAACTACCTATAATACTACCCTATCCACTCGCAACTCAAAATTTCCCCATGTTAAAAATAGAAATTAAAACAAAGCACACAGACTTAAAAACACGATGGTAAGATTAAATGGTCTGTAATCTCATCTTTTCAGTTAAAATCTGGTCTATCATTGATGTTCTTAGAGAGGTAAAGACGAATGTGGATGACAGTAAGACACAAGTTGATCGAGTATTGTGTGAAAAAATCATGGCACACATCTTGCAGCTTAACAGCATTTGTTCTGATAGACTCAGTATTCTACATACAAAAATACACCCCGTAAAGTAAGTATTCACAATAATAATATATGTTGTTCACTGATAGATACAGTGAAGTCAGTCAGTGTATTTCACATAACTGATTTTAGGTAAAATTAGTATTGACGGACGTATGTCAAGTTGTTGTAACAACAGAACACTCCCCATAATTAAAGAATGTATGTGCAAAAACTCATAGGTCGAAGAGAAACTGACAACGCCATGGCAAAAAAATGAAAAACAACTAAAAAACGAACAAACCCTCTATACACTGAATAGAAACTAAAGACAGAGCAACACGAACCCCATCAATTATAACCGGTTGTGAACTTGTGAACGGCAAGGTAAGCAGTTCCTGCTTTCGTTTGGCGTTCAAGTATAAATCAGATGGTAAGTCTAATGTCGAAATTCCAAAGGAACATAGAACAGAGACATGATAATGCAGGATTCCTCTTTGGTAAGTGTTTTGGGAATATATGTTGATTCCAAGTGAATTGTCAATACGTAATTCCGTTATCACGCAGTTTATACAGTTATGTCTGTCTCATATCTTGAATTACATCTAGAAATTGACAATGAGTGTCGGTTGAAAACAAAACTTTACGACAAAAGAGATGATTTAAGCTTCCCAATTGTGAACTTTCCATTTCTATGTAGCAACATTCCAGCAGCGCCTGAATACGGAGTATATATCTCCAGTTGATACGATATTCCAGGACTTGTATTTCATATCTTGATTTCCTTGATGGAGGGTTGCTGCTCACAAGGAAGCTATTAAACCAAGAGTTCGAAGTGGTGAAGTTCAATTTATCCCTTCGCAAGGTTTACGGACGCCATCACGAGTTGGTTGACCGCTATGGAATATCCGTTTCACAGATGATAGCGGATATGTTCCTAATGTCGTAACTACAATCCCGTCCTTCTTTTCCCGAATGTGACCTACCGAATTAGACTTATCACCGGGTTTGTATTAACATGAACAATTTAATACTGAGTTTTGGAAACAGCAATCCCTCAAATACCAGACTGTGTATGTATTTCTTGTTCTAGTCATATTTATTTTATTCATTCTATTTATTTACGGCGTCTGTATTTTGACCTCAACATTACAGCAATGATTTTGGTGGTTATCATCAAAATGAAATTTTCTTTTCAAATTTAAAAGGGCTACCAAAAATGAACCAGGTAAAAGAAACTAATGCAATCTGGGTAGTACGGTAAACTTCTTGACAGCTCTACATAGAAACTAATAACAGCCTAGACTGAACAGTAGTTTAAGAAGGAGAAGAAGCAGCTTACATTTATAACGAAATTTCCCTTCAAATTTTCACGCTTTATCCCAATTATTTGTTTTTCATGTATATGCTTGTCGTCATTACATCAAAATGAAACTAAAGGGAAGTGGTGTATAGATCAATCTGAAAATTAACAAACCACACAAATAACAAAAAAACATCTAGAATGTAGCATACAGTCATCACCAATAGAAGGGTTTCAAAACAATAATTCGAACTCTGAAATTTTTGGAGTCTAAAGAATTGTGAAATTAAAAGAACGCTCAGATACTATGTATGATTGTCCTCCTCTAAACACACCAAAATAAATCAAGTGTTTAGAAAGAACGTTGTTGAACATATATTAAAACATTATATTCCTTCTATAAATCATCCTAATTAGTCAGTATATTTATCACATTAACGTTCATTATGTAAAGTATCGTGTCTGACATAACCTATATTTTCTATATTTTTATATTTACAGATGGGCGTTTTTGGAAACACTTGGGTTTTTCTCATTTGTTGGTATACTACTATTAAAAGCCCTTTCCTATCGTATGGAACTAGTTATGTGTATATTAACTGTATTCTCTATCAGTATGTTGTGTTTTGTTGTATCAGACCTTGACGCACCATTTAGTGGATTCTTTCGTGTAGATCTCTCGGTTTTGGTAGATGTCGTCCGACGAATCGAAGGGCTACATTCCGATTCTCAAAATGAAGAATTTAAATGTTCCACAGAAACATCTAGCTTGGCTGACTCTATGTTTGATCCGGTATCACCTGACTTACGAAACAGTAGATGCTAATAACCTACCCTGTATATAAAAAATAGGATGGACAGACAGGATAATTAGGAACTATAGGAGAATGGGTTTGTAGAAAGACGAGAACGGACAAGAGAAGAAAGAAATTGTGTAGGGGGAGAAAAGAGACATATAAAAAGCGAGATAGAAAGGGAAAGGTGGACGAGAAGGAAGGGAGGGGAAGGGTTGAAAAATGAAACATCTTCTATCTGCCTGTCTGATACAGAACATGAAACAAAAGTTTAACATTGACCACAATCCAATCTTTATTTGCTTAAATCAAATATTATATATCTTTTAAATTGCAGTTTCATATATTCAATATCAAAGTAGCATTTAATGTACAGAACATGAAAATGAAAGACATTCTAGATTAGTTACATAATTGACGACAAAAGTAAGATTTTGAAATAAAAAATAAATATTTTGTAAACTCTATAGTGCCTTATAGGAGTGTTAGTCATTATGTATGTCCAGTCATATGATGTCCATACGGTGACTTCTAACGATGGCTATCATGTGTGTTCGGACATTTTACTCAAAATCTACTTTCATTTAAAATTATGAAAACCACAGTATTTCAATTCCAACACAAGATTAGTGACAGTGTGAATTATTTGCACAAGATACTGAAATACTGATTCGATAAGTTATCCGTGATTCAAAAAGTGAAACTTTGTAAGCCTGTATTTCATTTTCTCTTCCTCGTTACTACCAGTATTGAGTAGTTTATTCATTTCAGAGAAAGACAAGTTATTTCACATATAAACTTAACTGTTCAACGAAGAAAACGAGGAAGGGACTGAAATACAGGGTAACAAATTAAATTTGATGATTTGATTAATAGATCAATTCATTGTTACACAGATGCTTCTAAAGAATTTATTTGACGGACTTCGTTTACATAATGTTCCAGAATTACGGCCTCTTAGAAAGGTCTTACATACTATAGCGCAAAAGAAAAGTACAAAAAAGTAACATAAACATGTAATGGATGATTTCTGGATTTCTAAAAGGTGCATAAGTACCTACTGGCAATCAAAAACCATAATTCGAAGAGAAAACATCATTACCACTGCCAATAGAAAAATACGGAAAGACACTTCACAAAAAACTAAAGAGATTAGCAATTTAAATTGATTGTACAACTGAAGCATAGTAAACAAATTGCTTCGCCGAGCGCAGCTGGATACGACCGCAGAGGTCCAACCCTGAACAGTTGGGCCAAAAATGGACACAATATTCGCGCTTGATACAGGTCTGAATTTGGATTGTAATTAAATATTTGACACATAATAGGTTTCGGACACAGAATAACTGTAGTCAAAGAACTAAGAATTTGGTTATATGATTTGAATTTATATTCAATTTTTTGCTTTTGTGCAATACACTATGCTGTTGCGAATTGACCTCCCCCCCCCAAAAAAAAAAATACCACCCTTTTTTTTGCTTTTGTGCAATACACGATGCTGTTGCGAATTGACCTCCCCCCAAAAAAAAAATACCCCCCTTTTTTTGCTTTTGTGCAATACACGATGCTGTTGCGAATTGACCTTCCCCCCCAAAAAAAAATACCCCCCTTTTTTTGCTTTTGTGCAATATACTATGCTGTTGCGAATTGACCCCCCCCCCCCAACAAAAAAAATTACCCCCCCCCCCACCATTTTTTTTTGCAAATAAAAAAAAAATATTTGAAGAAATTTTCTTTTTAATTTCTGAAATCTGAAATGAGAAAAAATTGTCCCCCTCCTCACAATTTCTTTTTTACCCCCCACCCCCACTAATATTTTTGTTCACCTCCCCCCTTTTCCAAAAAAAAATTCTTTCCCTCAAGATAAGGTCATAATCTCAATTCTCAATTCAAATTTCAAATGGTGTTTGCAACCATAATTAGCCATTTAAATACATCATAAAAGTATTAAAATAGAAAATGACATACATAATCATGGCTAAAATTAAGTTTCCTTAATCAGCATTTTTAAATAGTAACTTCTAAAAATAAATTGACAGCTAATCACCTCAAGACAATACAACATTTCTTTATACATAATTTAAAAGCAGTGTAAGGGAGGTAATCCAAACATAACATTGTACTTTTTTTAATTGCCCCTGTGGGACCCTGATTGGAATAATAAACTATTTGATTTGATTCGATTTTATAACGAGTTTTCCCCCTTTTAAGTTAAACATTCTTAGTTTTTCTTTTTTCTTTTCTTCAACAATAAGACGACCTCTTGTCACTCATTTAAGGAATATCCCTCATTAGGGGATTGTTCCCAACCTGTTTACCTTCGCGATCGTTCGGGTGCCTTTTCCGTTGTTTTGATACTTTTTTTTCAGTTTTAACAATTTCAATACGACTATCCGTTTTAGTTGAATTATTTTGCCTAAAGTTTTCCTTATCACCATCGTCATCTGCCTTTCTCTTCCCCCGAATAATAATAGAAAACATTGAAATTTGCCGATCCGCCATTTTTGTCAATGAAAACAAATCAGCGAGGCGCGATTAGTATTCAAATTTTTACGGTGCGGAACCGAAAAAAATCCGGAATTTGAACAAAAGCCAACCACCTCCTTAAATGGAAAGGTGTTCGGCACACCCGGCTTAAACGGTTTAAGCCATAACCCCCCAAAGCCAATCCTAACCATCCCTTTGTGGTATGGAAACTTGTGGTGTAATTTCAGATAGATCCATACACCGTTCCACAAGTTATTGTCTGGAAACTAGAATAATGCTTATTTGGGCGCCTTTTTGGCCCCTATTTACATTTACTAAAGTTATTGTCCGGAAACCAAATGTCTTCGGACGACGCTGACGACGACGACGACGAAATTTTTTTGCGGTCGTATAAAAATGGCAATTTAAAATGAGAGAAAAGTTGTTTTGCCATACAGCCCATATTATCTGTCTTGCTTTATTACCGGTTTTGCACTATGTCGTGATATTTGCAATTGATGATTGGTGTTAAACGTCCAGTGGCATATATACTTATGCACATCAGGACGAGAACATGTTAATTAAATATCAATATAAACCCTCCTTTGTAATAGACCGACATTCTTTGCCACATTTCTAACTTGCTAATTTATAAGGTAATAGTCCGCAGGAAGACAAGTCAGTCTACCCAAACACTTTATTCCGACTCCGAGACTCTTTGCTCTTACTCCTAAATGTCAAGTGCTTAGCGGATAAGCAGGGGAAAACAATTTTCAAGTCTTTGGTTTGACTCAGCAGGGGTCGAAAACCACAAGCGCACTCGAGGCGAACACGCTGCCACGAGACCAGTGAGGCGATCATATTAGCCATTGAATATGAGTCCAGAATCTCATGACGGGTGATGCATAGCTGAAGATGTTTATCCAGTCAACACCATGTATCAAGTTCACGCAGTCCCGACTGATTTAACTCTTATGAGTGTGCAATAATATAACCTTGAATAAAGATTTTGAAAACGGCTTCCAAGACACCCGATACCACTCTTTGTTTTTGATGGAAGTCTATTCGATGCACTCAAGTTTCAAAAGTTCTCTTTTTAAGCAGATTGTTTTCCTGTTAAATTGAATCTTCCAAATCTTGAATCCCATTTCAATCTAAAAAGGTAGGAGAGACAACAACATAAAAAAAACATGAACGTGTATTTATAGACCATGCCCCGCTCATACTATCAAAATTTCCATGTAAAATGAACCTCGAAATCGGAGCCAAAAGCTTTATTCGGCACATATTTTAAAAAGTTAACATCCGATAATGAACATTTGTGCTACATGTAAGTTGTAAGTTGATGTGACCACACGCGTCGTGTTTCTAATGACAAGTAAAACTGGTGATACATGCAAGTAGCTTTCGGTTTAAACTCACAGACAAGGACGGAAACTTGTGATTGTGACTCTGATCAATGAAACATATTCGTGGTATCCCGTGACACATATATTCCATTAAAAGTCTACCTAATTAGTATGGTTTCCATTAAAACTTTCTAATAGATTACTTCAAAAATGCAATACTAGTAACTAACCCCGACTTCAAATATGCAATACTAGTAACTTACCCATGGTTTAGTATCTTTCTTAAAAGCACCAAAAGTCTATCAAGATTACCCCTGTTAGGAAACGCAATGTATGGAATGTATCAAATGGGAGACATAGCCTTCATATGGTTTACAAAGAGATTTGGAAGATACCAAAGGGATATTCAAACTCATAAGTCGGGAACGAACTGGCAACACCATGGCAAAACAACGTAAAAAGACGAAAAACAAATAACAGGTTACAAAACACACCAAAGAATACTATAGACTGGGCAACAGTATAGAAAACTATAGACTGAGCAACACGAACCCCACCAAATCGGGAATTCGGGCCCGTTCGCCAAAATAAATGTTTTGATATAGGATGCGAAAGGACCCGACACCACAAAACAGGGGTGATCTCATGTGCTGCGGAAGGGTAAGCAGATCTTATTCCATATGTGGCACCCGTCATGTTGCTCATGTAAGTACACATTCGACTGCAATGGGATTAATGCGATCAATCTAATTAGCAAATCATCTTTCTAGCGGAACATGAAGTTTAAGGATAATGCTAGCTTCTTTGCATTCATATTTGGAAGCCCCTGTAGGATGTCTGCCTCAAGCGTACAAGGAACAAATCGTCGAGAAGAGAAGCACGTTTAGTTCTCATATTAATTGTGATGGTCTATTGAAAACATGTCACCCAATTGTGAAACCAAACACAGGTGAGTTTTCAATCAATAATTCAAGCATCTTGATAATATTGTTCGGAGAAATGAATTAAGTTTGATATGTCTCTTCCTCCAACAAGATAATTGATGACATACTGAGTACTTCCACCCTGCTACCACTATTCCACATAGCTGGGTCTTCTTGTGGTATATCAATCATTGTGTGTGGAATTTAAAGAAAAAACTTAAGAAACGACAAAAAAATACTCTTAATTCATACAAAGTACATAGGGAGTTTACTCTAATAGAGATGTGCAGCTTTTTTGTTACACATTACAGTATCAAGATGTGAGTTTTGCTGAAAAAATTATGAAAATGGGAGATGATCAAATGAAACTCTTTATACATTTGCATGTGCAATATGATTCATTTTGCACGACCTTCTCATATCGATAGAGCTAAGACAAAACTAATTTATACGCTTGTGTTGCCAAGGATTTATGATGATTGACACAGTAATATACATGTACTAGAAACAATTACTTATAACTGAGAAGTGATACAAGACACAGCAAACGCCATATCTTTGTGATCTTGAGTTATTCAATACAAAACAAAAACATTCTTCTGAACCACCAGTCCTCTTGAACCCACCCTTTAAACAATTCAGGATGATGACATGTTTACAAGAAATGTATGTACCCTGCTTTGTTTTAGACACTGAGCCAGAATTTTATTGTGTTTAACTAGGCTATTATGGTAAATCTGCATGGAGACACATAATCCTATAGGCTACCAAGCCACATTATTTTAGCTTGGAGCAAACAAGTCTTTTGTTATAACTCATTAATGCTGTAAATTGGTCGATAAGGAGCAAATAAAATTTTCAAAATCTTAGATTTAACCAAGCTTTGGATCAAAACATCATGAATTTGCATATTACCATGATATTACTGGGTTTAATGAAAATCCATTTGTGATGTTGTTTAAGAGACAAATAAGTCCATAGTTTAACTATTTACAATGTAAAAAAAATAATAAAGCAATTCAAATACAGTTACAATCAGTCAATCTAAATGTAAATATAGAATAACCATACATTGTCTCGAAATATAAATTTTATTTGTACAAGACTTAGAAACAGGTAGAAATCTGTTCATATTAATCCTTTATTTGTTAACAAATCTATGCAACAATAAGAGAACATGCACCAGACCACTGCAATAATCATTTTTCCATGCCATGTTAATCAAATATGAAGAAATACATATGTATCAGACTTATGGAAAAAGAAGCCCTTTGCATAGCTATATTTACATGTATGTTAGCACTAATTTATCTGTGTTCACTCTATCATTCATAACGCTTGTATCTTTACTTTAGCTTTGTTTTAAACATTTACTGCATGAAAATTTCTGGATGTGCTTTCATTTCTTCACCTATTCTTTTTTCTATCAATGGTAACATCAGTTGATTATAATTCATGTTGCCACCAACAAATACTTGTTTACTCGTTTTCTTTGCTGAAAAAAAAAATGTATGATTAAAATGCATAGGATGTGATTAGATCACATGTTCAGTAACAGGCAACAGTACTGATTTAACTGAACCAAACAATGTCTCTTCAGTGATGCTTGAAGCAAAAATATTTGGGAATCCAAATTTTCCAAAAACATTAAAAGAAACGTTGGTGAGCACATCAGTTCTCAAATAGATAGATCACGATTAGCTGAAATACATTTGTAAACACAGATAAACACATTTAAAAAAAATTGTGGTATAACCAGATTTTTTCTATTTTTTAAAATAACCATGTACATAAGAAATAAACTTTGAAAGGAAAAACTTCAATAAGATACTAGACATGTGTTTAAGCTGTAAATTCATTATAAGATTCAAAATTTCAGTGCCTACCTTTTTTTAGCTCACCGGGACCTGAAGGGCCCCATGTGAGCTTATGTCATCACTTGGCGTCCGTCGTCGTCGTTGTCTGTTGTCGTCGTCTGTCGCGTCAACAATCTTCTCCTCTGAAACTACTGGGCAAAATACCTTCAAACTTAATCTAAATGTTCCTTAGGGTATCTAGTTTATAAATTGTATCCGAAGTTTTGATCCATCGACAAACATGGCCGCCATGGCTAAAAATAGAACATAGGGGTCAAATGCAGTTTTTGGCTTATATCTCAAAAACTAAAGCTTTTAGAGCAAATCTGACATGGGGTAAAATTGTTCAATTGGTCAAGATCTATCAGCTCTAAAATATTCAGACGAATCGAACAACCAATTGTTGGGTTGCTGCCACCGAATTGGTAGTTTTAACAAAATTTTGCAGTTTTTTGTTATTATTTTGAATATTATTATAGATATATATAAACTGAAAGCAGCAATAATGTTCAGCAAAGTAAGATCTACAAAAAAGTTAATATAACCATAATTGTCAATTGACCCCTTAAGGAGTTATTGCCCTTTAAAGACAATTTTACACAATTTGTTCATCAAGTTTGCTAACATTTAAAAATCTTCTCTGAAACTACTGGGCCAATTACCTTCAAACTTTAACTAAATGTTCCTTAGGGTATCTTGTTTATAAATTGTATCCAAAGTTTGTATCCATCGACAAATATGGCCGCCATGGCTAAAAATAGAACATAAGGGTCAAATGCAGTTTTTGGCTTATATCTCAAAAACTAAATCTTTTAGAGCAAATGTGACATGGGGTAAAATTGTTTAATTTGTCAAGATCTATCGGCCCTGAAATTATCAGACGAATGATAACATTTAAAAATCTTCTCCTCTGAAATACAGGTGAGCGATTCAGGCTCTTGAGAGCCTCTTGTTTTTTATCATTTTTAAAATAAACTGTCATGCCTGCCAGAATGACTGTTAGTCATAAATAATTTATATACATTTTGGAAAACTTATTATTGACTGCCTTAAGTATTGATCTATCTTCCAACTCAACAGAACACACTTGGTTATGATGCATGGTTACACTGTTGATTTACTAGTATTACTGCTTCTTTTTGGTTATTTAAAAAAATATCTTGTATCCTCTGTCATTTAACATATATATATATGTATATAATGTAATAACTAATTACAATTTGTGAGTTAATTTTGATGTGAGTTACCATGGTTAATGAAAAGAAAGAAAATACAAATACAATTTTTTTTATCTAAAATCGGACATGTTTATAACACAGACATCACAAGCTCTACTGAGCTTTTAAACCAACATTGACAAACATAAAACATAAGACAAAGGTTATATAAATCTACATTTGTAAGACATGACATTCTGTATGTGTCTGTCCCAAGTCAGGGGGTCTGTAAATCAGTGGATGTTGTTTGTTGCTGTATATATCTTATGTTTTTTCATTTACTGTTTTGTACATCAATGAGGCAGTTAGTTTTCTCATTTGATTTGTTTTAGTTTCTTCGTTTCTGGGTCTTTTATAGCTTGCTATGCCAGTATGCGGTATGGGTTTTTCTCAATGTTGAAGGCTGTATGTAGTTACTAACTTCAGTGTCATTTGGTCTCTGGTGGAAAGTAGTCTCCTTGGCAATCATACCGCATCTTCTTATTTTTATACACACATAAAGCATATTTCATAAGCATGCAAAATAATTATAATATACTAAGACACTAGCATACAAATGTTAAAAAAGCTAAGCACACAGTTGCAGCACTGTTAAAAGCAGAACATGCAATATTTAAATAAAACAAAAAAAAAACTGTTTTAAAAAAACAATCTCAAGCAGATCATTTCTTGTATTGGCTGTACAGTATTTGCAGACCATTTAAAAAAACTACATATGAAACTACATATGATAGTGATACATTGAGTTGTCCCTCTTTGCCTTACCTAATCTTTGTGCTAGTGCTGATGTTGGAGAATCTGAGGTTCCGAACAGTGTTGATGTACTTGGTTCTTGGCTCTAAAATGGAAAACAAAATTGTCATGACTTATGAAAAAAAATTGATTTAATTTTTCCCTTTAAATACTGAAGATTTGCATTAAAAGCTGTAGACAAAACATATGATCAGTGTCGAACATGTAGATACAAATAATTGTACAAATAAAATCCTATGCACCTTAAAAAAATCAAATATGTTGATGTAAAATTAAATTTTAAATTACTTTACTTACATATTTGGTCTTCATGGCAAGAGAGAGGTCCCCAAGTGCAGCTGGAGACGTACCAATCCACAAGAAAAAGCCATGGTCAAATGCAATAATTTGAAAGAAAACTTCAGTGTCCATTAATTTTTCAGAAAACGTATGAACCTGTAGACCAATACACTGTTCATTTTCATGACCATTTGTTGCCATCGTGTAATGAGGCTTATTTCATAATCGCCAGTTTTACCACAATAGACACATGGGTTTATTTTTTGTAAACAAACACAATGAACTTCCGGTCAGTAAAAGACTAAACAAATGACGGTGTAAGAACGAATCCAAACCGGAAAGGAATTATGGTGCAACCAGCAATTTGATTTATTTGAGAAAATAACAACGGCTTATTTTGGAATAGGATGCATCTATAGCATATACTATAGTTCCAAACTTTTTTTTTTATTTTTAAAAGTAATCTGTTTATTAAAATAGTTACCATATTTTTAATCTAAATTTTAAACTTTAATGCAGGTAAAAATGTTTTATACTTCATTCTAAATCTGTTGCTAAATTTTTTTTATTGCATGCTATGTATGTAAGATTCAACTCTGTATTACAGGTTGTTTTATATGTTTAATTAGACTGTTTTTATGTTATGTATATGTTTTTATATTCGGTCAAAAGCTCCTTAGAGCTTATGTTTGTAATAGGGCGGTAAAGTACTATTAGCTGTTCATGTCACATTCAGTTTAATTTTCATGTTGATAAGCTGAGTCACAAAAAATATGAAAAATAGAACCCCCCCCCCCCGCTAAAACAATGAAATATAGAAAATGCAGCCTGCATTTTTCATTGAATGCGTGATTTTTCAGTAGACAACGCTATTATATATACAATGTATCATGTTAAATCTCGTCGTCCACACAAGCTTAATTTTTCTATCAAAATTCCATCAGTTTAGTGATTAGAAACAATGATTTAGATATGAATGTAAGCTTGTTGGTAATAAAGTATATAATACTGTACCTTTCAGTTCAAAAACTGAATATTCGATTGTATATTTTTGTGACTTGTTATTTATGTTCAGCCTGGTCATATGTTTTCTAATTTTCACTAGTTTCCGTGCGATTTTCTCGTAAAGGCTCTATGAATACCACTACCACGGGAATAATAAAGTTGGACACTGGCTTATCTTTCAATAATAAAAAAATAAATATTCATCTCACGAAGGTGGGATTTGAATAAAACCGGAATCCTTGGACATCGATAAAAACTTGGTTTCTTCAAGATCTGTAGCAGTGGGAATTTAACATTGACAAGCATACAATAGGGTTGTCACTGGCAGTTAAAGTCAGTATACACGTAATGAAACTATAGAACACACATGAATAGCAATAAATTCAATCGTTTTCTTAATTATGAAGTTAGAGTATCATGGGACTTGTGGTAAAGAGAAGGAAAGTCTACATTAATACGCATAATCAAATCCAATTGGTATCTTCCTGCAATAAACATTCACTCGACCAAATTCTTTCAACCTTGTGTTCCGGAAAATTACTTTTGATCACGTCAAACGAATCTGATTTTGTTTACTATATTTGTGAACTTTTTTTCTGGCAAAAACAAATAAGTTTATCAAGTGGAGAAAAAAAATCGTATTGCAGTATAATGGTTTTGTAGACTTTTGTAGGTCGGACAAAGGAGGACTTAGTTTTTTTATTTTGCCTCGAAGTCTGACTCTAGTACTTTCTGTTAGGTTGGATAATAAATGGGAGGTAGACGCATTGAATCAATATTATTTGTTAGCGTTTAATTTGATGATAATATTGCACTTGTTCAACAACTACCTGCTTAAAAACCTGATTAAAACTCTATTGATATACAATAAGTATAGATAATTAGTGAATATATAATGCACATTGACTTAATTTTCCACTTTTACCTTGACATATTTCTTTTCATACAGCAGCATTTGATCTTACATCATATACAAAATTCAAAGTATAATTTGTTGGAACTGACGTGAAAGAAGCAAACAGTCTAGACAATAAAACAACTGACAAACGTTTGATTTACACCTGTAATGATTCTGGTTTTGTAGACATGGAAATCATTTTCACATATTACATCAAGTAATAAACCAAACTTTTATATTTATCTACGAGAACATTGATGGACTCTGCCAATCACTGATAACAATCTGTTACTTAAGGTTTTACTTTTGGCACACAGTGACACATATTTTATAGTCTTTTGATTAGGTGAACATATGGTAGTAAATAGATAACCACAACAGGATGTATGCAGAGCCGAATGTAATTTTGGAATACTTTGATCACTTTCTTGATTGCTATTATAAATAAAAACAAATCAAAGTTTTGCTTGCATCACAATGAAGTAGATAGAGACCACCAGCATACACCAGTAATTCCAAAGGTTAACTTTATAGATTATATGCCGCCCCAGAAGCCAATGTCAAATGGTGGGATAAACTGTATTTATGTTGTTGATAACATGTGATTGTTTCATTTTGTTTGTAGTTTCTATGATGATATTAAAGTTCTTTGTTGGATAACGAATGGTAGAATCCGTTGGAAATTCTCCGTTTTTTATATGTAATGTATGGATTGCTCGGGCATGTATTATGTACCGATTTTTGACGGACATCTGAAATTAAGTTTAAGAAAAGTTTTTAAGACTAGGGACCGTTGATCTTGCTGCAAGGTCTTCCTGTGCATTACTACCATGTGAACTAATGCGTTAAAAATACGACCCAGCAAAGCAGGATTTATATTTATAGCATATTTAAAGAGAGGCGGAAGCTGCTAAAGGGATAGACAAACTCATACATGTATAAGTCGAAAACAAACTGACAATTCCATGGCCAAAAAAAAAAAAAAAAAAAACCAACCTAAAGACAAACAACAGTCTACAAAACACAATATAGACAACTAAAGACTGAGCAACACGAGCCTCGCCAAAAAACTGGGGCGATCACAGGTGCTCCAGAAGGGTAAGCAGATCCTGCTTCACATGTGGCATCCGTCGTGTTGCTCATTTAAATACAAATCCGGGGATAAGTCTTATTTCGATAGGTCTCATTCGACAAAAAGAGGATGGGATAAACATATGTTTTCGTTCTTTTATTCAATATGGTGATATATTTGTCACTGGACGATGGATCATCATCATCATCATCATCATCATCATCATCATCATCATCATCATCATCGTCGTCGTCGTCGTCGTCGTCGTCGTCGTAAACTAATTTATCATTAGTTCGGTGCAACTTATCAAGCCAAAGCAAGGAGCAATGAATATTTCTATGTATGGTCATGTATTTAAATAGCTGTAAAACAAAAATTGCAACTATCATATGCTGAGTTATATTTACACAACCTTTCTTTCATTTACAAAAAAAATATGAAGTGCCTACATGGATGAAGACAGACTTACAAACAATTAAGAATTCTAAATACATTTTTAGGTTCCAAGATGAGATCATCTCTTTGAACCGCGGGATAAAAGTTCATGAATATGTATATGACACAAAAAATTTACAGTACACTTTGAAAGTTGTAATTGATTGACAATGCAGGGGCGTGGACATTTTCTTGTCGCATGCGCGACGCAAATGTTTCCACGCCTATAAATTTTCACTTATTCGAACTATGAACATCAAAATTATGTATTTTGTAAAAATATTTCCTTTCTCCTTTTAAACTGTATACCTAACAACAAAATTATTTTCATTTACCTGTGTATAATATTGAAAAAAGATGAACACTTTGACGATATAATGTTTGGTAACCCTAATATAGAAATATAGTCACCTAGGTTTCTCCTGTACATCAGTAAAAGCCTTTCCTTTTTCATGGTCACCTGTTAGCAAGTGCGGGCTGTGAAATACGCAGCCACATCCAGTCAGAATTGGAAAATCCGATGCACCATTTAGGTAGAGAGCCAGGCTCTCCGCACGTTAAATAATAGTTGCAAAATATCTTAGAGGGTCAATAGGTTGATAGGTGAAATTTCTGGTCCCATCTAAAATTCTTTTTTTTTTCCAGTGGCAGTCCAGTTTTTTCGCCCTTCATCCAAGTCGGCCAACTTAGCAAAACCTTTTTATTATTTTTACAATTTGCAAACAATATTTGCTACTGCGCACATTTAGCAAACAACAAGCAATCAATTAATGGCATGTATCTCGTTAGTAGGTAAGTACTACTAATCTCTGATTTATAAGCTATCCCACTTGACCAAAATCTCTTATCAAACTTACGAATATAACAGTTGTCAATTCTGCTTCAGAGTGCTTACTGCTGTTAAAAATTGACATCCCACGATAAGTGTGATTTCTACATGCGAAAATGAAACTTTCAAATATCTTTTATTTTATTTTGTATATCAACATAAGGTTAAAAAAAAAAACCACACAAAAGATAATTTGGACAGTCACATACAACATGTGGTGGGGTTAAACATATGTTTGTTCAAATTATATCGCTGTGTATGCTTAACCATGAACATAATGAAATTATCTAGATAAATGGTTTCTTTTGGTATTCTGAAGAAGTGGAAACTTGTTTAAATATAACTAAAATCACATTTATATTACTGGCAAAGATATATTATTAACACGAATGAATATCTTTTTGTCACACAATTTGATATATATGCTTTTTATTTTTCAAAAAATCTCCAGAGTCATTTTTCACAGCCAAGTTATTTATTCAACTCCGTTTCAGGACAGGACAATAACACATGTCTCTGATATGTTCACGACGGATAAAGAACAAACTTCTGCGATCCAAATAAATTGGAGAATTTCCTATGGCGCAGGAATAGTGTCACAATGGCGTTTTAATGCCATCGCATAATTTATTTATGCGATTGCATAATTCATTTATGTGATTGCATAAATAATTATGCGATGGCAAAAATAATTATGCGATTGCATAAATGGCGTTTTATGCCATCGCCTAATTAATTTTGCCATTGCATAATTATATTTCTGCAATGGCGTAATTATTTATGCGATCGCATTTTTATTAATGCAATCCCAAAAATGTTTATGCAATCGCATAAATACATTAACGGTATGGCAAAAATGATTCCATTGTCCAATCAAAATCTTCTTTACATGTTCAATTCAGGGTGAAATTTTCGGAACAACTTTCTAGGTAGCACGGTAGTATTTGCATTCCAGAATTTAGGTTGCTCTTTTGTGTACCCTAGTTAGGTCAATGTATCTGAACAGTGTGATTGGACTAAAAATACAGTATCAACTGAACATACTTTCCCAAACTGAGGGATGAATCAGGTGTAGAAAAATATGAAATAATTTTACATACAGGTGAAAATGAATTTTTGAGAATTTTTTTAAATTTTGTATTCACTGCATGATAAAAGACCTAAAAGCACTAGTGGCCTTAGGTTTTTAAAAATAGCAAAAAAAGTAAACGGTCATGATACATATTCAAATTTATTTCTGATTAGCATAATGAAAGTACTTCAGCTAACTGTGTATGTAGAATTTTTCGCAGTGCTAGAAAGTGGTGAAAATCCTAAAAAGGCTATCATTATCCCTTATGGGCCAGGAAATACTACCGTGCCACCTTAACAATATAACGGTACGTCTAAATACCACCAGAGACATATAATATTGTATTATATGTCTCTGATACCACGTAACCCGTGTATTGCTAAACTGTAGAATAAAGATAATATTATTACTTGTTTTAAAATAAAGTGACATTTAAAAACGTAAACAAGTTTCCTGAATTTTATGTGAATTATTTTGACGAAATGAATCACTGGCTGATTCCGGGGGAGAGGGCGTACGTCCCCCTGAACGATTTTATGCTAAAAAAATATTTTTTTCAATCAAAAGTGCGGAGCTTTTATGTCGATCCGTCCCAAGTCAATCCGGCCCCAATAAAAAATCATATTTATAAGGAATAATAAGAAATATATATTGTAGTTCCTAAATGTTTATGAATTTTATAATAATGTAAAAGCTGTACCGTAAAAAAAGTCGGCCTTTGACCAGTATTTTCATTAAATGAGTATAAAACAACTATGTTGATTACGTTTTCATTATAAGTTTTCAAGATTGTTGGGTATAATTATGATAAAAACATATTTAAAGAATTTAGTACAATCAACAGCCATCAACATTAATCAGCATTGTTTTCAATTTTCAAATTCCTATCAACTTGTATAATAACGAATAGTTACATAAACAACGGCACAAGCCGATCCCCAGGCTAATATATATACACTTAATTTTTGTTTAAGTTCTAAAAACTTCTCAAATTGAGAAAATGTTGTTTGATTTGCCGAATTCTTTCTATTAAAGAGGAGACAGAATGCGTTTTCTTTTAATATTACAATTAATTAATATAACATCAAACAAAAGATAAAACTATAAAGACCTTGTAACTATTACGTAATATTTGGCATTATCTTACTTCCAGATCATCAGACAATTGTTGAATAAACAATCCAATTATAGACTAGTAATCCTGTGTTAGGATGCTAACACAAAAGTCGCCAAAACGGAACCCAATGCATTGTTCTGCGGTATCCATAGTGCTAGTTAACATTTGTGAAAAGTGTCATTATATTTAAAGGATTTTGAATTTTTTTCACATTTTCGCAGTTTCCATGGTTACGGCGGCCATTTTGGAAATTTTAAAGTCAAAAGTCATGTCTACATATACCAGGCAACATTTGTTTAAAGTTTCATTAATTTTGAAGCATGTTGAAATTTTTCACATTTAAGCAGTTTCCATGGCAACGGCGGCCATTTTGAAAATTCCAAACTCAAAAGTCAAGTCTACATAAGCTAGGCAACATTTGTTATAAGTTTCATTAAATTTCAAGCATTTTGAAGTTTTTCATATTTTTGCTGTTTCCATGGTAACGGCGGCCATTTTAAAAATTCCAAAGCCAAACTGCTGCTGCAATTTGTTCTCTCCATAATTATATACCATTATATAACATTTTATGTCTCTACAATAAATTTATCATTGATGTTCTGGAATGTTCCATGAAAATTCACCCCCCTAAAATTTTGCCAAGGAGACCCCCTACTGAAATAAAAAGGTTCCATGTTGAAGCAGACATGTGTCTCTTAATATTCATAGAAGTAATCATAATTCCATCTACTCTACATACAGTAGCAAATTTGAGAAATGTAAAATAAAATTGACCCCACCCATCTTTGAGAGCCCCTAATTATGCCAAGATGACACCCTGGTATCATGGACATTGGATTCTGCAACCCCCATGATGCAGACCTATACCCAGAATAAATATAAAGTTTCCAACCTCTACTGCTTCCAAAAAAATGGTAGGACAGTTTAAGGGGTCAGAAAGAGAAATAAGAATAAGTAATCCTGTGTTAGGATGCTAACACAAAAGTTGCCAAAACGGACCCCAAATCTTTGTTCTGCGGTATCCATGATTTCATGAATATTAAAAGCAATTTGCATTTTTCACATTTTATGCAGTTTCCATGGTTAAGGCGGCCATTTTGGAAATTCCAAAGTGAAAAATGCTAGGCAACATTTGTTTTAAGTTTCATCAATTCTGAAGCATTTTAAAATGTTTCACATTTTAGCAGTTTCCATGGTAACGGCGGCCATTTTGGAAATTCCAAACTCAAAAGTCAAGTCTACATAAGCTAGGCAACATTTGTTATAAGTTTCATTACATTTTAAGCATCGAAAGAGGTAATGCAAGCAGCCATCTTAGCAGAACGACCTGATACTCTGTACCAGCCACAACATCGCAGTTGGAGTAAGATAAAAGCCAAACGACAAACAGACCCAAATCTGTAAATAGGTATACCAGTCCGCAATATCCAGACAGGATAGCCGGACGTAAAAATCACATATCATCAGAGGTTAAGTTTCGACCGTGCAAGGGCTGTATAGCCAGTCAACGTCTTTAAAAACCTCCTTCCATTTGTTGTTGAGAGATCAAGATAATTTATATAAGAAAAGTGGAAGATACCAAACAGCTATTAATCTCATCACAATGACATTGCCACGGCAACAACGAATAACACGAACACCAGGCCACAAACCACATGTTTATTAGGTGTTGTATTTCAGTTTCTACATATCAATCATTTCCATGCATGTGTAAAGCAGTTTGAAGGTACCAACATATATATATATATATGATAATAAAAATAGGGTGCCAGTGTGCGAATGTGTAGGGTGCGCACAAACCCAGAGTGCGAACATGTAAAGGGATCGATCGGACCCGATACCTATAAAAAGCACTTACTTATCGGTAGGGAAATTTGTTAACTTTTTCATTTGTAATGATACACAGTATAAAAAACATTGTGTTAAAATTTGGTGTACGAATGTTAAGAAGTTATTACAATGTTTCTTGGCGTGACAAGCCGAATTCCATCGAACTCTATCGCCTGGAGTAATGGGGCAGTCATGATATGCCTAGTCTAGCTGAATGAATAATTAATTATTACTATGGTGTTTTAATTCTATTAAATGAACAATTATCAGTTATGTATTTTCTAGTGTAATGACAAATGTAAACTACTGGACTTCATGTTAGTTGGCATAAAGATTTGTAGACAATTTTAGAAAAACAAAATCCTGGCCCAATATGGACCCCTTTTAAATATTTTCAAACACACTACATATAATAAAAGTTCCAGCTTAAAAACTGTTGGGAGCTTGCCATGTGGACTTGCGCACCTCTGTAGTGTGTAATTAACATTCTACAAAATATAAAGATGTAGCTCCAAAACTGTAGGAAATAGTTTAACATACCATGTATCTATATCTAGACAGACAGGGGTTACATTAATAACCTTCCCCCTTTTAACCCTTTTGGTACCGGGGCATAAGCCAGCAAATCTATTTTTCATGTAAATGTTACAGGTCGGTTTAATGCCATCTATCAATTACCAACACAATGTTCAAAATTTTATTCAGCAATCTATTAAAACCCCGTAATAACAATGTCAGTAAAAAAGTATTTGAGGCACAGATAATTACTTCTTTAACTGTTTAATACATGTACAGTTAATCACTAACCAAATAAAAGACAAGACAAGACAATTTTAGTCTCTAAAACCACTGTATACACATTGGTACAAAGAATGAAATAATAATACCTAGTACACAAAATAAATTGTGCACATATAAAAATACATAACACTATAAAGTTAAGTGATAATTCTATCTCATTCAATTATAACTAATTAAGGTTACAAGAGCGCAATTATTTGTTTACATTTTACTGGCAAGTTTTTTACCCCAAGATGGTACTCAGAATAGAATCCTACACGGCTTCTGATTGGATGATACAGGATTGGAATTACATTTAATCGAAAGCTTATCCAATTAGGTTTAAAAAATGCAGAAAATCATATTCACATTTTACAAAGTATAGAAAATATGTTCCATTTCTGCACGTCGGAGCCATTAAAAATATGCCTTTTTCTTTAAGCGAAAAAAATAGACGATCTTTTTCAACTGCATTTTAAGTCAATTTTTGCCACATGACCATGTATATTTTTTTGGTTGTAATGCAACACTGGCATTTCTAGTAACAGGAACTGCTACCCATTTTTCCCTAGTTTGTGTAGTCTTCGAGGAAAAAAATACGGAACACCAGTGGTACCCTATGGAAAATGCATTACGAATAATTGCGCTCTTGTAACCTTAAGGTGGTACCTAACACTACAGGGAGATAACTCTGTAAAAATCAGCTAATTGTTTTAATCACATGGTATTGTTAAGGAAATATAAAGCTTCTCAATGATCAAAATTACTGTTTGTCAAACTGTTATAAAGCCAAAGAAAATTTTGTGATAAAGTGTTTGGTTCAAATTTAATGAAATTATTATATTTTTGTCAATATGTCACAGTAAACATTTTGTCAAAATTTTATGAAAATTAAACAAGCCAAATTAATATTAATCAAGGTGTTGGGTTCCACCTTAAAACTAAATTTATTTGTCCATTATGTATAAGAATGAATATGTACTGCTCAAACTATACATTGTTACACACAAATACAATGTATATAATACTAAATATTTTATTCACCAACATGTGTTAATTGCAAGTGATATAACTCATCCAGAAAACCACTGCAGCACAAAATAAGCCTTCATTCCAATGGCTGTTCTCTATACTAACAAATCCTACAGAATAAATAAATGAGGATTTTGTGGCCAATCTAGTCAATAATTTTTTAAAAACACCTACTTTATTACAGGATTTTTTGTTATATCATTGTATACATAGATTACTTGCTTCTTTGTCTATGGTGTGCTGTAACATTTCCACTCAGCAAAGAATTATAAAATTCGTTAAATTTAATTGCATTTGGAAAAGTAATACATTTAAAATCAATATACTTTTTTTTTCTTTAGCCATAAATGTATGTCATTACATAATAAAATCTGTCACCAAGATCTTATATCAGTGTTCACACGTTTTATTTTTTCCCTCTCACAATCAGTATTGGCAGTTTATTTGTAGTTTATATTATGAAAAGCCAGTCTAACATGACAAAGTATATACATTACAGAGTTCAAAAATATCTCAATTCTTTTCAAAGCCAAAAAGATCATTAAAAAGGTGACAATTCAATATTTTCAGGTTCGTTTGAATATCTAAGTACCATATTTGTTTAAACTGATCTTTGGAGAGATGTCCTAAATGTGGTATTTAACCAAGTTTCATTAATACAAGATGGAGTTAAATATGCAGAAGATAAACCAGTATCATTAAAAATAGATTTTATACAGTTCAACCAATTAAATTTTACATTAGTTCCATGATTAACTCAACATTAATTTGTATGCAATTACAAATAATTTACAGGTTTGCTAATTATCAACTTTGACCAATATGAAATCATGCAAGATTTTATATCGAAGCTTACAGGACATTCACAACCTCCTATTTCTCCATATATGGTTCCAATCACCCAAGAAAGATAATGTTTTAAAAATCAAATTAAACATTCAATATACACATCAATAAAAAAAATGACATCAAGAATTAATATACTCATTCATAATTATATTATCACCACTGACTATCATTTTTTAGGTTCTCAAAACATTTGATTACTTCATCTTTTGTAATTGCACTGTTTCAGAATTTCGTTCAGTGCATTCAATACATTTTGATCAGTCTATTGGATCTGAGTCACCTGATTTTAACTTCTTGAAATCAAAAACTGAAGTACTGAACATCGGATGACCTATCCCGCAAGTTCTTGTGGATGGTTAAAAGCACATGTCACAGAAACAGATCACATCTCTATACCTGAAACTGAGGTTAATGTACAGAGATATATTTTTTTTCTGATACAAGTTTGTGCGTGGATGATGAATTAATAACAGGAAATTCAACCGCACCGTAATTACTATTATATTGTAGTGATACAAATCAGTATACCTGGGACTATCATACTAATATAATAATAGTCCCAGACAGTATACACTGGTTTGTTGTTATATATCATATTAATAATTACGGTTGCATGTATATATAATTTTCATCCATTTGTATATCATTCTATTCTACTATTCTAATTATAGTGCAGTGCAAGTGCATGGTGGACACTCTTCTGTAAAAAAAATTCGATTTTTCTAAAAGATTGGATATGAGAAGTCATTCATATTTTCCCGCAAAACAATAACAGAGTTACCGGTCCTTGCCGGGAGTGTCGCAAAACGTTTCTGAGATATTCTTCCCGCAAGCTTTAACACAATTTTTCGGTACGTGTGCATAGATATCATCAATGATTTTTATACTTTTATATATATATATACCATACGACAACACATTATTAATTTGTGTTTTAATAAAAATATTTATAGTATTCATTGAAAAAATGAATTTGAAACAAGCGATTAATAATGTTATTTTGCACTAGATAATGACCGTTGATCTATAATTTTCATAGATCGGTTGAAAACCCAAAACAAATTTGCATAATGGAAATTTAGGCGATAGCAATACATCAGAATGACCTCATGGTCATCTCGATGTAAAAATTGAGTAAGACTGCAAAATCAATATCAGGCTGTTTTGAATATTTGTTTCGATTCAAAACTTTCCAATACTCTGGTGTTTTGAGATCTAAGATTTTTTTATTTTTTTACCTGTATCTTTTTTATATTTCATTACAGCTTAATCAATAACCTTTAAACATCTTTTTTCAGATTTTTAAACTTTCTCAAATTATAAAGGTGTAGGCCTCACTTTTAGTTTATGCATAGTTTTTCTATAAAGTTAATTCTGTATCTCAAATTTACAACCAAGATTGCATCAAGGCATGTCTCCTTTGGGTTTTGATGCTGTTTTTTTTCTTTTCATTCCAAAATTTTTGTTGAGGGCTCTTAAAATTAATGCAAACTAAACTGAATCTCAATCTAACAAAAGAGTTTATCTTGTCATCTTTAACACTGTCCAAATTAACATTTATTAGATTGTGTAAAACACTTGTCTAGTTTTTCAAGATACAAGATTTATTGATAACGCTCAGACACATACATGTGTAACATGAGGTCAAAGTATAACACATAAACAATTGAATGACTAAATGAGCATGCAGTACTTTTTAAACACATAGAAATACATTTGTAAATATTTAAGAATAAACAAGCAATTTTCTTAATAAAAAATTACAGTCGTTTGTAGACTTCTATATTACATATTGACAATAAATCTTCCATTTTAATGTATTGCGGATTAATGGTATAATATCTAGGTAAGTATTGGTTTCTATAATTAACAATAGAATCATGTTTACATACAAATAAAACATAAAATTCATCACCAACAAATTTATGACATAGTACATATTCTCTCTGGTCTAGGTATATTTTGCCAACAGCCTGTCTCGATTGGAATATGCAAGTTAGATGTCCTTAATTTAGTTACCCACCCTCTATTCTGTTCAGATAGCCTGATCAGATATTTTTCTAATCCGAAAGACCCCAAGATGATTTTTCTATATCCCCAAACCATTAGGTAATAAACTGATCACTCAATATTTGATTGAGATAATTTATATCACAAAAGCCAATTTGATTCATGAAAATATATCCTAGACCAGTGTTGTTAAATATTGATTCGACAGAATCAGTCCATTTGAAAACATAATGACCATGATTCTTCAATGATAACATCAGCCTGTACAAAGTACTGAGTTTACTGCTATTGTTTACAACTTTACACCAATACGAAATCATTTTACATTCAACTCCAATTTGCAGAGGAAATCTTCCCAATTCTCCATACACCATAAAATTGGGTGTAGTATTTCAAAATTTTAAAATTCTTTTACAAAATTTCAAATGTATCTGTTCCATTATTTTCAAATTCTCAAAAACCCAAACTTCCGAACCAAATAAAAGAATTGGTCCTATCATGGAATCAAATAATTTCAGTTGCAAATCTATAGGAATACTTTTGTTTCTAACAATTCTATGAATAAAATGCATTGATTTTTGTGCTTGATCAATAAGTTTTTTTTTGGTATCTAAAAAAGTACGTTATATTCAAAGACAACACTTAAATAAGAGAAATTTTTTAACAATCTCAAGTTCTGTGTCTTGTAATCAAAATTTTAAATTTCTTTTTACTTTCCTCTTTCTCAAAATAATAACCTTTGTTTTATTTAAATTTACTATTAATTTCCACTTTTCACAATATAACTGAAAAATGTTAATTGATCGCTGCATACCTTCTTCTGTTTATGATAAAAATACAGTATCATCTGCATATAATATAACGATTAATTCAAAAATATATGTGCAATTCATTTTGAAACTTCTCTTTATCAGTTTCTATTGGAATCCCCCCAAAAAATGAAGTTTTTCCAATAAATCAGATCTTGATACTGTATTTAATGCTTACAAAAAAGTTACAAACTAGAGGCTCTAAAGAGCCTGTGTCACTCACCTTGGTCTATGTGCATATTAAGCAAAGGACACCGATGGATTCATGACAAAATTGTGTTTTGGTGATGGTGATGTGTTTGTAGATCTAACTTTACTGAACATTCTTGCTGCTTACAATTATCTCTATCTATAATGAACCTGGCCCAGTAGTTACAGTGGAAAATGTTTGTAAAAATTAACAAATTTTATGAAAATTGTTAAAAATTGACTATAAAGGGTGATAACTCCCTAGGTGGTCTATTAACCATTTTGGACATGTTGACTTATTTTTAGGTCTTACTTTGCTTTACAGTATTGCTGTTTACAATGTATCTCTATCAAAATAACATTTAAGATAAAAATTAAAAGCTGAAAATTTTTCTTAAAATTACAAATTCAGGGGCAGCAACCCAACAACAGGTTGCCTGAATGGTCTGAAAATTTCAGAGCAGATAGATCTTGACCTAATGAACAATTATACCCTGTCAGATTTGCTCTAAACGCTTCTGTTTCAGAGATACAAGCCAAAAACTGCATTTTACCCTATGTACTATTTTTAGCCATGTCAGCCATCTTGGTTCACGGGCGTGGTCATCGGACACAATTTTAAAACTAAATACCCTTATGATGATTGTGGACAAGTTTGGTTAAATTTGTCTTAATAGTTTCAGGAGAAGATTTTTGTATAAGATTACAAAAATTTATGAAAAATTGTTAAAAATTGACTATAAAGGGCAATAACTCCTTAAGGGGTCAACTGACCATTTTGGTCATGTTGACTTATTTGTAGATCTTACTTTGCTGAACATTATTGCGGTTTAAAGTTTATCTCTATCTATAATAATATTCAAGATAATAACCAAAAAATTTCCGGGCAGATAGATGTTGACCTGATAAACAATTTTATCCCTTGTCAAATTTGCTCTAAATGCTTTGGTTTCAGAGATATAAGCCAAAATCTACATTTTACCCCTGTGTTCTATTTTTAGCCATGGCGGCCATCTTGGTTTATTGGCCGGGTTATCGGACACTTTTTCAAACTAGATACCTCAATGATGATTGTGGACAAGTTTGGTTAAATTTGGCCCAGTAGTTTCAGAGAAGATTTTTGTAAAAGTTAACAATGACAGAAGACAGACGCCGGACGCCAAGTGATGAGAAAAGCTCCCTATTATTCTTTTCCAAATGTCTGGCTGTTTATGATCAACTCTGTGTAGTATGTGACCGCATCTGATAAATCAGGTTGAACTTTGAGTGTTACGGCTAGAGCACAGGTGTTCACAAATGTGGACTCTCCAAAATCAATGTCAATAGGTTTGTGAAAACCTATTGCTGGTATAACACTTGACCCACTTAGCCACATTAATACATCTTTGGTTTCAACTTTTATTCCATTTACAACTGTGGCTGTTCCTAGAAAAAAGTAAAATATAGTATAGTGAGCTTAGGTGTTTATACTATAAGGGCTAGTCAAAGCTGATTGGTTCTCAGGGCGTTTTATTTTTTTTGAAAATCAAGTAGGTCTCAATTGACACAATTCATTTGAAAATCATATTCTATGCACTTATCCAATACAATGTATTTGTTAGTGCCAATTGACACAATTCATGATCAGAACATTTAGCAAAAGGAAGAAAGGCTATAGAGTAAATTTTTCAAATAAACAAAACTTACCGTCATTATGTCCATGAATTCTATAACCTTTCTATAGATTAATTTTCCAATTTTTAAAACTACTTTTAATCTAATGTTTTAAAAAATCTAGGGTGCCAAAAAGTGATGATGTCGCTTCCCTGCATAATTTTTTTCCAGGACGTGTTACAAAAACAAAACAGAAAACTTTATAATTGCCTCAAACAGTTAAAACAAAACAAAATCTTTAAATTAAGAGCTATAGTTCTAGTCTTCAGATAATAGCAGTAAGCTAAATTATCCAAATGCTAGTGTTATTACATAAAATGGATATTGACATTAACTGGTAATTGATGGTATATGTGTGAAAAATAAAAATAAGTCCATTTATGAGTTAAATACAGAAATATTTTTTTTTTTATCCACGACCACTTTGTTTATTGATCACGATTAAGCTTCTGTCGAAGTTTTGTAAAAATACTAGATGGTCTAAGAATGTTTTAAAACCTTTAAGGAGGCTCGCAGGTACAAAAATTTCAGCAAAAAATTAAACATTTGTTTTTTTCATTACAAATCTTATTTTTTACACTATTAGTTATTACTTTATGATATGGTACAAAAATTAATCAAAAAAATCGATTCGGTTTGGCCCCAGATGACTTTTAAAATGTTTATATCATTGAAAAAGCTCCAAATTATCTCCCTTTGCTGCAAAAATGCCATTTTTTGGCATTAAAATTGAAATATCTTTTTTAACACATCGGTGACCTATATTTTTTATTATTGTTTTCAAATAAGCTGTACATAAACTAAATAATTGTAAAATTTAAGCTATTTTAGGTAATTTTTTATTTCGATATTACCTCTATTTCTCCAATTAGTTCAACAGAAAAAAAGGACATTAACAAAAATGTATGCTTCTTTCGGAGACAGATTGTGAGCTTAAATGAACAGTGACCCCATTTTTTTATTTCATTTTTCTATTAAGTATATGATAAAGTTCATTTATGAAAAAATATAGCAAAATCCTATATCAAAAAAAATTATTTGATTTATACCCGCGAGCCCCCTTTACTGCAGACTTTTAGCAATACTAAGTGGGAGACAAACTTAGTTCATTTTTAAGTAAAATATGGTAAATGTAAATAATACTATAATTTTTTTTCCTCTGGATACTATCTTTTTAACATTAACAGGCTATTGTCCAAGTTTGTTAAAAATCCTGGATAGTTTAAGAAAGTTATCAATGTTTTAAAAGCTTTAACCACAAAGTGAATGTAAATGTTAACACAGCCGATAGAATGTAGGATTGCCATGTCTTGCTTTAGCAAAGCCGCAGGTTCATCAAAATGATGATGCACTCTTAAATGAGGGAGGGTCAACATGCACTATGGATTTGATTCTTGAAAATCTTACAATTATAAATATTTCCAAAAACCCTATTCATATTGATATGATTTCTTCCACTTAATATTCACTACCTTTTACATTATTTTTGGGCAACAAACCTTTTGTGGCCTGGAGAAAGGTTAAAAAACCTTGTTTTGTGGCTTTTTGGTCTTTTTCCTGATTCCCTGTAGTAAACTGGAATTTCAACAGTTTCCTCAGTGTTGCCACTGTAACAGGTTTAATCCTGCCACTTAGTAAAACTCTTGAGGAGGCTATATAAGAGTCCTGCCTCAAGAGTCCCAACACCTGATGAAGTTCCAATCCTGTTTTGTAAAAAAAAAAAAGTAAATAAAATAAATTTGATAAAAATCTGGCAAAAAAAGTACACATGAATTGAAAGCACTTAAAATGTAATTTTCCAAATAATTAATATTTCCAAGGGGCAAAACTTGTAAAAATTATTTATTGGCACTGATTTTCGATTGAGAATCAGGCTAAAAAAACAATCCCTACTTTGAATCTGAGGTGTTTCACATATCTGAATTTTCCTTGCTGCAAATCCAGGCAAGCAAAGATAAACTAAAGTTTCAAAACAGTAAAGATAGAGGTGTAATTCCACCTGAAATTTGAACAGTACAGGTCTGGTTTCATAAGAAAAAAATATTCATACAAAACTGTAGTTATTGCAAGGCAATAAAAATTATCATTACATTAAATTACCACGATTTCTCAGTGAAATAAAAATTGACAATCACACTCCTTGGACATTTGGGTGACGTCAAGACAATATAGAAAACCCAGAATTAAAACTGATTGAGAATGCATCATAGAAATGCGAGTTCCTTGCATTTTCTATTATATTTTCAGAGCTTTTATACAAATCCATTCAAATGAAAAGTTTGATCAACTTGTTTGCTTACTTTATTTAGTAGTTTGTTCATGCATTGTAATCAAGATTGACACATGGAGACAATGGACAGGTGGAGTCAGTTGCAGTCTTTCAACAATTATAAAGATTTGTTTGGATATTTGATTATATTCATTGTCCAATCAAATCGTTGTATTATTGCAAAACCCATCATTATCCATTGTTCTCAGATGTCAGTCGTAATTGAAAGGCATGAGCAATCATCCGTTATACAAAGTTGTCAAGCAATCATGCAAATTTTGAAAAAGCATGGTTTTGTATAAATGCTCTAGGATATGGAAATATATTTTTAACTCATGACAAAAAAAAAAAAAACAACCACTGATAATTAAAGTAGCACATTCATGAATTAATGTGTTGTATGGTCACACATTGAATATTTTCTATATTTGTATTTGTGGATTAGTTACACTAAAATGAAAGATGCATGGACCAATAGAAAACAAAACGCATCCACCAAAGATTGTCTGGCAAAGACAAACAATGCAAACAAAATGATGATTTAGTTAAATTTTGAATAATACAAACCTCTGATAAATTGATCTAATTCATCTTGGCATGTAGAAATCTGGCTTTCAATTAAAGCAGCCTGAAGGAGTCTGACATGCTGTTTGTTAAATCTGGACACTGGGATTATAAAACCAGCGTCAGTTGCTTCATCAAAAATACTGGAATATAAATTCCTGATCTCAGCCTCAGATGTACAATCCTGCATCTAAAAATATATCAGACATGGAAGCCTTTACAATAATTTTAAAAAATGTGTCACATTGCAAAGTTTGGCCAAAACCTTTTTCTTTCTTTTAAATTTCAAATTGATATTTAAATTTCTTTTGTGACATTTGAATAAACTAGAAGAAATGTGTCCGAAGTATAATGATACCCCCATCTATAACATTAGGGAGTTTAAGCTGTCATTCCAGTGAACAAGAAGTTGATGCATGATCAAGGGTAAGTCATACACACTGTATAACCCATCTTGCTGAAGTTCCATACCAAATTTCTAAACATTCTTATGAAGGGTTCCCAATTTTAAGAGAACTTAAAGTTATGGGACGGGAAAGACCTATGCACTGAAAGCAGTAAAACTTTTATGCAGAGGCATAAAAAATGGTAAATTTTTTGGACAAAAAGGTCAATGACAATCATGATTGAATATCAAAGTATTCAGGTAATGCAATTATGAAATATAAAGTGTAATGGTGCCTAGTGTAAAAAAATCAAGATCAACAGTACTTTAGCCAAAATGACAGTCAAGTATACATAGGTTTGGGTAGGCCTTTTAGAAACTTAGATGCAAGTCTTCTGTTGGAGAAGTGTTTGTCCTGCTGGCACCAAGTCCATGTTTTGGTGTGAGAAACCCCAAATATCATTCAAATCAAAATTTAAAACAGCAAATGCACATCTCCATGCCCTGATTAAGAAATCATGATAGGTTCAATATTGTTCAGCAGTTTTAAGCAATTCTGGATGAAAAAAATCAATAGGAAATAAAAAAGGTCCTTGTTTTGGTATGGGAATCCCCATAAAATCATTTAAATCAAAATTTAAAATATCATGTATACATATACCTGACCTGCTTTAATAAGAAACTTGAAAATTTGTTCAGCAGTTCAGTTTAATTCTATTAATTTGTTTATGAGTAGTGCGACGACACAAATGGACAAAAGATAGTGACCCCTTCGGTTGACTCTGCTGACTCTGCTTACAGCAGGTGTCACATAGTCGGTAGGGGACAGGAATTTTTTTTTTGGTGAGGGGCTTAGTTGGATGGTCAAATAGACTATTTTTTATTTGACAAGAATGGAAAATAACTTGTATTCACACTAATTACTAGACAGACAATATCAATTAAGGAAATAACAAGATTAAAATACCTTTAATAATACATCTTTTAGTCCATCTTGCAAATCCTCTAAATTCAATAGTAATGATTTCCCATTCAGAATGTAGTCAGTTACTATGTCTGAAAAAATTGGAAGGCCTGGTCCATCCTGGATTATAGAAAGGGCAGTGAGCTGCCCTATATGAAAATAAGTCTTCTTTTTCTTGGCCACAAAATTTGCTTGGAATGTTAGTCTCCCAGGTTTCCCTGTAAGTACAATATACAAAAACATACATTACATTGATTGTTGTTTGCTCAATGTCCAATGGCAAATATTTCATGCATGTTCAGGGCGAACATATACCAATGTTTGTTAATATGGCATTTACTCTTAGGTAGCAATATAGTTAGGAAAAAAACTTAAAAATTGACACTCATAATTTTTAAACACCCTCTTTATCTTCTTTTCTAACAAATAAGGCTTAATATTTGTGTTATGCATGTGTATATTCATAGAAAGAGAATCTTCCATAGATTTGATTTGTAATGGTTATAATGATGAAATATAATCTCTTTTTGGTGTAACCATGGCAACAATCTGCATTTATTTGATACAAAATATTGCAAAAAAGGGGGTGAACATGTCACAAGACTCCAAAATTTGGTCCAAAGGAAAATTTCAATCAATTACAGTGATACCTTTCCTGAAACCATAGGTATATATCTATCAAGAGGTCCAAAAAAAATTATATGCATTTCTGCTCGTTTTTCCATAAAATTGTATTGAAAAGATCGAGCGTCAAATCTCTGTTGATCAACACTACAATAATTTATGGACCTATGAGGATAGGAAAATATGGACGGTCAAACAGATAAATGCCCTATAAAACAGGCTAAAAACAATCTGAATGTTCATATAAACCCACTAAGAAGGCTATATTATTCTTCAATTATCTAAAAATCAATTTTATTGTACAAAAACTTTCATATTTAAAAATTTAATAAATATAAATGCTTTTGAAAATGTAGAAAAATGCAGAATTCAGTTTTCTATGCATATTTCCCTAAAGGAAACATCTTGCACAGCCAAGATCAACAAAACAAATTTAGAGAATGCTTTGTAATAGATATTTACATAATTTGACAAAATATAAAGTTGTTTCTTGGGTGTGCACTTAGTTTAATGATTCAAAATATACTTGAAAATCTATGCAAAACCAGGAAAATCAAGACATTCTACAAAATGATTTAATGTACCAATTTCGTGTGATTTGTTGCTATTACAACCACTCTTATTTTATTTTAAGAACTCCTCTCATGTCTGTTATGTTAGGACACAACTATGACCTAGAATGGTTACTTTGAATATTTGGGTCAAATAAGGGCAATATTCCCCCTACTCATTTTCTCATTAGCATAGATGCCAACCATTACGATTTTTCCGTAATTTTTCCGATTTTGCAATCAAAACTACGCTATTACGGTCAAAGTCGAATGGTTACTGATTTCCCGGTCATCGCCGCTCAACTTTGTAAAAATCAGATTTTTATCATTACTTTTCTGGTCTGGTCCGGTATTTAGAAAACGCCAATGTAATGCTTCCCGTTTCTTCGGGAGTTATCGACCTATCATTTGATAACTAACTGACTTCCGATGAGGCAAATTTGCATTTTATGAAGTAGCTTTCCCCTTTCTCTACTTCTCCTTGACAAAACGAAAATGTACGAGTCGAGAACTTCTGAACAATTAATGAATGGAATACATACTACAGATAACATGTTTAACGAAACATGTTAGTGCACATCACTTTGCAACAACTAGTCAATAATTTTTTTGGTAAATGCACGTTTTTGAATGATTACTGAAAACTTTTCAAAATTACAGAAAATTTGATAAATTGTTACTGATTGTGTCAAAAGGGGGTTGGCATCTATGCATTAGTCGTATTAAGGTTACCTTAATGAAGATCAAACGTTTAAAAAGTCTGAAAGTGGCATAATTTACATGAAAGATAATTCCCTCCATCTAAAAAACGCATCTTCCTTACATGATCAAATCATCATAACATTTAATCCCTAGTCTTGTCATACAAAGTAAACATGCCTTTTACATAAACAGAATTGGAAATATTGTGGAGGAACAGGCTCCAAAACTCTCTTCTCAAACCCCCTAAATCTACTCCATCTTCTCCACTGAAGCTAATTTTCAAGGGGTTGTGCAGGTCATCCTGGGATACCCGTATCAGCTCCAGGGCATCAGATAAAACAAATCCTCTCCGTACTTCCATCAAAAAGGGATCCTCAATGTCAGGCTTTATAAAATTATGACTATGTTCTTTAAGAGCATTCTGTAAAGCATCTATTGACGGATTCCCACTAAAAGAATAATAAAAAGTCAAGAACTTTTATCATACTATTAAAACATTTGAGACAGAAATATCAGACTCATTTACTTTCATTATTATCATACATTTAAATTCACACTATTAGAATACTCATTAAAATATAATCTGTTGCAAAACATTTCAAATCTTTGTGATTCTAACTAAATGACTGCAGATAATTAATTTGAAACCATTTTCTCTTTCTTAAATAATTATGAATAATCTTCATACCCCACATTCACTGGGAAAATAATATCTCACCAGACAAAAGGTTCTGAACTCAAACAAAAGTCAACTAACATTTGTTTAGGGCTATGCACATCTCCATTGTATGTCCCCACTATCTATCAAGTTTTAAAATTTTGTTGTGCATTTTCAGCAGTTGTGCTGACAAACTGTTTCATTAGTGTATCTTGGCCAAAATACGAAGCTTAAAGGAGGATCTAGAAAAATAAAATGCTTCACTGAGCGCAGCTTGAAACGAACGTACAGGTCGAAACCCTGAACAGTTGGGGCAAGTATGGACACAATATGCAAGCTTGATATAGCTCTGAATTTGGATTGTGATTAAATATTTGACACATTATAGATTTCCGACACAGAATAAGTGTTGTCAAAGAACTTAAAAATTTGAAATGGAACATTTAATTTACCTAGTATGGTGACTATGGTCCAATATCCAAAATCAAATCCATGGTTAGAATCAGCATATAAAGAAAACCCATGAATTGAATTTTTCATAAAATCAAACAAAAGACTAATTTTGAACCCTTTGGACTTCAATATGGGTTAATTTGAAACGGGGCCCCAAATTAAAAATCTAAATGCACAGTTAAATTCAGCATATCATAGCACAAGAATTCAGTTTTTGATAAAATCAAACAAAAGTTTTATTTTGGACCCTTTGGAACTCAATGTAGACCAATTTAAAATTGGGGCCCAATATCCAAAATATTAATACACGGTAAGAACCCCCAACAATCCAAGACTTTACATTAATCCCCATTGAAATTGGTAAAATCTTTACATTTATTTTCAATTGAAGATTTTTTGCTGTTGCACAATACTGTGCTGTTCTGCAATATTTAGTAAATCTGTTTTCAGACTATACATAATTCCTGCCATATCAGTATTTGATGTTTCTTTATATATTATAGATTAGAAATAGTTTATGTTAGAACCAGCTAAGCAAGAGAACATAAAAGAAAAGTATTAGAAAAGTCTTGTTTTTGGCCACTATTTGACCTCCAACTCCCAAACGGTTAAGGCCACAACTCGTAAAATAGACACCAACCTTCCTTGTGAGGTATGGAACCTTGCAGTACAATTTCATAGAGATCCATAGACTAATACTTAAGTAATTGAAACCCTTCACTAAAACCAAATGTCTACAGACGACGACGACGGCATTATAGAACCCTATTTTTTCGTGGTCGTATAAAATATTAAATCAAAATGACATGTCGATATGCACATCTACATACGACATATGTCCTTATAAATTACAAAGTTTCATGAAATGCTTTCTGTATTGTGGTTTTAGGAGTTGCACTCACAAGAACAGGATGGACAGGTCAAAAACACTATAACCTACGCATGGGGTATAATAATCTGAACAGAGATTGATATCAAATACAAAATTTAAAAATCATTATATCAACTAAGTACTTTACAATAATTTTACAAAATTATGTAATTTAAGTGAAAAATTACATCAAGATTTCATTTCATTTCATTATCCTCATATTTGCAATCAAATTACCGGTACACAAATTAAATGTCCAGAGGGTTTTACTTGAATTATAGTTGAATGATAGGGTTTTATCTCTTTGCTATTCAGGAATATCTATCCCTTCCAGATCTTCAAGACCATTAAAAACAAAAGAAGAATGTATCCATGGACCAAACAAATTTGAACTCGATACATGTTTTGTGGTAATAATCATTGTTTCATTACATTTGATTGAGGCAAACTAAAGTGAGAGAACAGAAACAAATTTCATTATGTATGTAAATTTGTAGATGGACAAAGGTAAAGCTTAATGCTCCCATTGCCAAGCAGCACTGAGCATGGGCATGAAAACTCTCCTTTGACCGATAATTTTTTAGTTTTGGTATTCTCTCTCTATTTCACATTGAGCAACTTATGTGCCAGTATAAATGCTATTCCAGTCTTATACTTAATATGCAAAATTTCTAATATTACCCAACATCTCCAAGTGGTGCTACATCTGGCATATACTCATCAAAAGAATATCTATTAGTTTCTTCAGTCAAATCACTGAAAAACAATATTAATGGGAAATTATAGTGCATGATTTTGCTTGTTCAAAAATATTGCTGAAATAAATGTAGTATTCTTAAATACAAATCAGATTGGTTTGAAATTTTCTTATCATTTGATGCATCTTCAAAAAGTCAATATAATTACAATATTAGTTTTTTAAAGTTTATAATTTACATTTTTTTTTTATCTGTGTCAATTTTAGGTACTATAAATATTCTTATGAACCCAAAACTCTAAAGAATTGATATTTGTAAATAGAAATCTTAGCTTTACCTTGCGACATCCATAAGGATTTGTCTGCTGTCATTATTCTGTGATGAAGTGGGTGCTTGCCCTCCAGTCCGGAAAAGTATTGTAGGTGTACCACATGTCTGATAAATACTGACTTCAGGCTGTTTTGAAAGAAATAACGTTACTCTTAACAATCACCTCAAATTTATCAAGTCTATTTCTTAGTTCAGTGAACCATAAAAAAGAACATATCATAAGGAACAATGTGTACTAAATTTCAAGTTGATGCGACTTCGGCTTCATCATAAACTACCTTGCCCAGAAATCTTAACCTATTTGAGATGGACGATTGTACAGACCAACGCACAAACCAAAAAACAGAATGCCCCTCTACTTAGTACTATCTTAGATGGGGCATAAACACAATTGCAGATTTATACTAATTATCTGATCCAACTTTATGTCTGACCTGCATAAAACTGAGTTTAATTGAGAAATATAAATATATCTCTCTATTGATGTTTTCCTAAACAGACTGGTTAGCCATAACTTCAGACTTGAAATCCAAACCAACATTACCCGGGGTACTCAAACACAAGTTAGAGAGGTGTGGTGTAGAAGTAAGCACATCAATAACAAATAACTATGCCAATAGTTCATGATTTGATCCTTGCTAATGCATAAAGGGATATTATTATCAGTTATTAGAAATAGGTGCCAAATTCACTTTAAACAAATCAGAAAAAAAAAAATGACAATAAATACCTGTCCAAATCTTTCTCTTTCTAGATGACTTCCTTCAATACGAACAGTATCAGATGAATTCTAAAATAATTCATTTCTTTAAAACAGCAATTTAAAACATTACAAATTACTTACAACTTGAAGCATCGTTTTGTGTTTCTAAACTAACACATTCATATTCAAAACAAGGCCATAAAGAAGCGTGGTATCCCCTATCACCTTGACCATCAAAAGAGTTCCATATATTTTTAAGGACTAAGTCTGTTCAAATTTTTTTCAAAATCCATTAAAGGATATTAATTCTAGGGTGTTCAAAAGGGTGTTATGGAATGATGGTCGATAGAATTACATTATCCCCATTGCAAATTTGTTGGCTAGAATAAAATAGATATCCCTGCTTCATGTTTTCATTTTGAATTTGGAGTGCTTTGACCTCAGCATCATTTAAATCTAAGATTGCAACATGCATTTAGGACCTTTATACTTAGTACCTTTTATGCTTTATTGTGTCATCATAATTGTTTATTGTTTACTTTATATTTGGCATGGTACCGGTCTATTAAATTAAGCCTATTTCAAAAGAGTTTATAATGTTTGTTCTTTTGTGCTGTAAGGCGACTGTCCAAGGCTAGAGGGAGGGTTTTGATTCAAAAAATATTTTTAACCTCGCTGCATATATACTAAATGTACCTGACCCAAGTCAGAAGCCTGTAATTTTAGTGGTTGTCACTTGTTGCTGAGTTGCATATTTGTTTTTTGTTTATTGTTTTTTAAATAAATGGGGCAGTTGGGCACCAAGCAATCTCGTCATAAAAACTCATTTTTTTATTTTAAGAGTCAATTTTTGTCTATCAGCCAAATATGGAATTCAAGCCCACCTATATTCGTATTACTTAGACGGACCCAATGTATGGGCATGCTCAGAAGGGAGTATCAGAAATAGTAGACATGCTATGAATGTATTAGCACATGAACATTTAAACTATAAATATTTACGTTAATAAGATAGTGGATATATTTTTCCTACATAATCATGAAGTACATATTACTTGCATTATCAATGAACTTTGAACAGACAATAGTGTTTCTTTCTAGACAGAGGCACTGAATAGACAACATGCATATGTACATGTATTAACGAAATTTTTAAAAATTGTTTTTTTAAATGTAATTGATAGTGTTTTAGCCTAATTACGTTAATTAGAGTATTGAAATGACATGAATATTTTTTGTTGTTATAATTTTATTATTTCTGTTTTAAAGTTTTCACCTAAAATCATTATTTTCGCAGATATTATCTTTAAGATGAAATAATATGTAAACCAATTTATCATGGAAATCACATTTTCTACTGATAAGATATACTTACAGGTCCTGTATTCATAACATAATTTAAGATGTGTTACAAATTTAAACACTTATTGTCATTTATACAAACTTGAGTAGCTTTATACATGTTATACATGAGCCCAGGTTTTAAATATAAATACATGAAACTTAAAACAATTTTTCCTTATTCAAGTACATACAACTGCCTGAATGAAATTCTGTGCTACGACCGCAGCTCTTCTTCTAGGTCTGTGGGTCCTACCAGCTGAATTCAATGAGCTGAAATTCGAACTATCACCATAACTTGTGGCTGTAGACAGGCTAATGCTTTGCTGAAAAAAAATATTATGTTATGTGCAACTTTGACTTCTATTGTGCAGTTACATTTAAGTTGAACTTGGGATAATAGACCATTCTCAGGTAATTTAAAGCTACTCCAAAATTGTTTTTTAAACTAAGGGATGCAAGGGATGCAAGTGATGCGACTCTGTTGTGAAAAGTGATTTTCAATTGGCTATCCTAACCCCACAAACCAGCTGGAGACAACTGGGTCATAATCAAAGGCCTACTAAATGTGATCTATATTATACAAAATTACAGAATGTTCCATAGAAAAATTTGGTGTTCAAGCCTCCCTCAAAACCTAACAATGACCCCCAGATGAAAACTAAATTTGATTGCAGCAGTTATCTCTGCAGGCCATAGTTTGGGCGACATTCTTTTTGCCAAGTTGGACCCATTATCAGTAATTAATGCTTGGACAATGGTGTTAATGCAGTTATCTTGATTTTGCAAAATGTTATTTTTTCTTTATGAGACTTAATAAGGGCTGTCCCCCTCCCCCTAACAGCCCTAATACATACAGCACTTGAATCTGTTACATTTAAACCTGGATCAGGAAGCTCTTCATCATTTAAACCTGGATCAGGAAGCTCATCATCATTTAAACCTGGATCAGGAAGCTCATCATCATTTAAACCTGGATCAGGAAGCTCTTCATCACTATTCTCCTAAAAATGTTAGCATCATATTTGAACACTTTAAAAGTTATAGCCATATGCATGTATATTACTGATAAATACTATTACTAAAACATTCGTACGAAGTATCATAAATATTAATACAAGAGTTTAAAAGTTATAAAACAGACATGTTTGTATTTTCAGACAGATAGACTTTTTGAAACCTTCCCTATGTCTATATATAAATTAACAGTAAACACAAAAACACTACTCCAATATTCATACTAGGTATCATCAATATAAATAATTGTATCTAAAACAGTTACAAGTTCTGCCACAATAAAATATATGTGGGTTTGGTTTTGCAGGCCTAAAATGACATAGGGTAAGTCAGTAATACCATAATATTTTGAAAAATATTTTCTTGCCTTTCCTAAAAATGGTAAATGGTCAAACTGGAAATTTGGAATGCAAGCCATGCCGCTTACTTTGAATTAATCTATAAAATATAAATACTTACTGCATTTATACGTAGTAAGCATTTATACATTGAAATCAAACATTTAAAATATGCAATTCAAAGGCTACCTAAACTAAACAAACATTTCCATATAAACAATTAATCACAGATTTTTGTTTTGCATTATATCCCATACTAAGCTGTATTTTCATAAAAAAAAGATGTTCAACAGTATTGTGAGGAAAGCAACAAGCATTCTGAAAGTTTCACTGTTTTTAAATATTCAGTCAAGTTATGCTTATTTATTGAATAAGGCATGATTAAAGTTTCACAAATACTATAAATAACAAGAGGCTCAGGTGAGGCTGTATCATTCCCCTGGCTTTTAATAGGCCATTTGAAAAATCTTCTTACAAAGAAATGCAAAATGTCAAAGAAACCTTGATATTTGACTTTTGACCTTCATAAGAGATTCCTATGAACTTTGGTTAGTCTGCCCATAAATTCATGAGCTAATGACAAACATGTCTTTTCCCTTATGATTTTAATGGAAACAACAGCTGCATGGAGCATGATGAATCTCAACCATTAGTAAATGGTGTTGCAGTCATCAATCCTGCAAAGTTTCAAAAACAAATGTAAATCAAAAGAAGATTTTTGAAAATCGGCCAATCAATATTAACAATGGCCTCTGGCAGCCATTTAGTTTATCCACCTTGTAACAAAGGTGGAACTTTAGTACAGGTCTTTCCATACTTCATTACTGCCAACTTTAGTTACAATCTTCCCATTAATTCCTGAGCAGTTGAGAAAAAAGTCTTTTCCCAGGAACCATAAATGGATTTTTTAAAGAGGTCCTTCCAAACATCATTCCTACCAAGTTTGGTTACTATCTGCCAAGTAAGTTTCCAAGGAGAAGATTAAAATGTGAAAAGTTTACAAACTAATGCAAAGTGATGACATAAGCTCAGATGGCCTATAAACAAAGCTAGTTATAAAATAAAATTTCTAGATGGGATATTATTATGTGCTTGATATTTTGACTGAGTGTTACAAGCTATAAACCAAATTATGTTTGTGTATGTATATATATATATATATATATATATATATATATAAGTACGTCTGAACCAGTGACAACTCTACAACAGATTTATCCATCGGATCACCAGCAGTTATGGTGATACATGGCTGTGTACATTCTGTATATACAACTCGTCTAAACATCAACCCAACAATTTACAGATCTAACATTGTTGGGTTGATCTTTAGACGAGTTGTATATATATATATATATATATATATGTATATAAAAGAGTACAATATATTAAACCACTACACCAAAGCAAGATGTTTGATATAAAAAATAATACGTAAATAGCAGAATATACAGGAAACTAGATTTCCAGAATAATGAAAAGTTACTTACATTAAGGTCTGTAAGAGAAGAATCAAGTAATTGCATTAAGAAAATCATGTAGTATTAATCAATCCCATCAACCTGTATATAATCAGGGTATGCAGAATCCATTTTAAACACAAGATCATAGGGGAGGAACAAAAAGAATTTGTTTTGCCCCTTAATATATTATAAGGTTAGGTATACTACCCTCCTTTTGGAGTAGTATAGTCCTACAGACAGATAGATTGGTTATCTGTCGGACTAGTCTATGCTCAGAGGGTAGTATACCTAACACCACTGTATCCAAATTGCACCTATTTAGTATAAGTATCAGTGTAAATCGTACATGTTTTTTTAGAGACGAAACTATTTGTATTTCTATTATTTAACATTATGCATGTCTTTCAACATTCGTAAATATATTTAAATATTTACAAAACGTTCACAATTTACATCAACAAAAGAAGTATAACTGCAAAAGTAAAATGTACAGAAATGTTGCCATTACACGTCCACCAAAAGGTAATCTTTTGAAAATGAGCAGTAGTGGGGGGAGATAAACATATTGGATTAAGCAGGTCGTCAGAATACTCTGCAAGGATAGGCATATTTTGAGACCATGAAAATGTGTTATTAAAGGAGGATTTTGGAAAACTCAGGTGTAGGATTTGTCAGGTTACACTCTAATGACTTTACGGTTCAGCAAGCTAGCCAAAGATATTACCTTTACCTACACATTCAATGCATTTTGTTGTAATTATAAAGCATCTGCAACTCAGTTTCTTTGTTTTTTTCTATCAAAAATGTCATTGAATAAGGGCTATTCCATTAAAAAGGAGGTACTAGGGTCGGAAGGCAATTTTTAAGTACCCCCATGACCAAGAGGAATGTACCATGTATCTTAACACCACCCAACAGGAAGTCGTTTCATGATAATACAAGAACCAACTGGAATATATCTAACTTATTTTTTACTGGCCCTTCAAAATTGAGAAGAAATTACCTCTTGGAATTGTAGATATATGTATACTCTGTAAAAACATCTACATGTAATATCAACATTTATTAATGATAAAGAAAATTACTGTCACATTTCATTGGATATTGACATGAAAATTTGTGAACTAAAAGTTATTTTGAGTTTCTGTATAAACTATTTCATGCTTTTTCTTTCTTTTCCATATATCTTTTGGTTTTCAATTCTAGTGTTTATATTTCATCATCATAGATGTATTTTGTCACCTGCCTGGAATTATTATTTTTTTTATTGTATTTGATCGGCAAACCCGGAATTACCCTTATCCGACCCCGGAATCTGATCCAATATTGTAATCGTCTTCATTTCCGGTTTATGGCATTCATTGTTCTTCAATGTTGTTTTTGTCAGTCAGATACAATTTTTTCTCGTATTTACACATTACTTGTTGGCGATTTTCAGTATAAAGCTAGCGGTTGAACAAAATGAGCATCGCTGTCATGAATAATAAAGATAAAAATAAATTTTAAGATCGTTCGGAAGTTTTTGTCCCAAATTGAAAACTGGGAAAAAGTAGGGTATTTGCCATACACCTTATCGCTATTTGTCCGCCATTACTGGACATCACAAAAGTTCCCGTAAAATTTTGACGTCATAATAGAAAATATCTGACGCCACAATGGAAAAGTGATTGTTGTACGACGTCAAAAGTTCAAGCGGGACAGATTCTCGGGTCAAGCGGGAATAGCGATACGGTGTATTGCCAATAGGAATGGGTCCGGTATTTGGACCCTGTGGAATACTAGAAAAATCCCAGGAGGGGTATACGATCTCAATAGAAATATGGCTTTAAAATGACCATACTGATGGTTAAAAAGGTCGGCAAAGTTAATTTTTATTTTCTTTCAAATCGAAGGTCCTTTCATTAGAATTTGACATAGTTCGTCATGTGCTTGTCATTAAAGGGAAGTAACTCTTGCACTTCAGAAACTGGTACCATAGGTAGAATACAACGTTGTGCCTGCTGCTGCGTAAGTCGCGGGAACAGTTATGTTTTCCAAAATATCACGATATGAGCATGAGACAAAAACAATCGGTTATATAAGTCCTTGCAAAAACAAATAATAATAAATAACGAAAAATAACACAATGAAACCGAAGGTCACAAAAACTGACTGTCAAAGACCAACAACCAACAATACTTAGTTGGACCACTGGCCATAAACGCTTCAACACATCAACAACCAACGGGATTTTTTATAATTGCCGTCCGACCCTGGTACATTCTTTTTAATGGAATAGCCCTAAGAAGCAAGGTGATTAAAAAGGTTTATTGGTTTCTAATTACCCAACCAAGTCTTTCCTTTTTTTCAACAGCCAATTGCATTAATTAGATATCACCTGGAGAGATTTTTAAGCCTTAATTGATCCTGACAATTCTTTAAAGTTTGATGAACATCTTTCAAAATTGAAGGCAAAATCTTGTGGACAACAAAGCGATCACAGATAGACCGGTCAAGAAAATTATACCCTTTTTTTTTTTAAATTTTGTGGCGTGCAATAACACATAATTTTGGCTACAACTTACCATTAGGTTGACTTCAGCATTAGCTATAAGTGGAAATGCTCTTATCTGTGAAGATGTTTGTGACCTTTGTTCTAAAAATGGTGATGACAAGTCCTGAAATGCAAATTATGAATGCTGAACATTTAACCAAACCAAGAGAGAGTTCAACTTTAACCTTGTACTTACATTTACCTATTCATACTAATTGGAAATCATTTCAAATGATGTTCTTGCTTATATAATGACCAAATTTGTTGAGGTTTGTAACCAGTTAAGTTTACATAAATGTATGGCCTTCAAAACAAAACAATATCCCATGTACATAAAGATCTGATCAGTTGCTATAAAATTAATCTTCCCCCTAAGGTGATTGGTAAATAAATATAGTAACCATAGGTCTTCCACCGACTGGAAGTAATCCCTCGCATTTGTATGGCTTGACGGAATGTTGAAGTGCACAGTCACATTCAGTAAGAATTGGAACGTTAAATCTGATGCCTCCTGTAAGAAGAGTGCCATATTCTTTGCGCTTTAAAATCCTTGCTACATTTCTTTCAGTGGCTAGTAAGGGACCTGTTGCAAGGCTGAATTTCTGTCCCTGTCCAATGTACCTTCATTTTCCTATGGTCAAAATTTCACTGACCTTTGTCCCAAACCTCCTTTGTTATAGGACCTACCCATTGTGTTTATTGCTAATTTGTTCTGAACATTCATGAAATAATGCCATTGGATTTTAGGCAACCAACAATGAATTAATCATATTGAATTCTTCATCAAAGCACGACTATTAAGTGGAATATTAAAAGGTTTATTTTGTTTAATTAGTAAATTAAGCATCTGTTGTGAATACGTAGTACAAAATGTAGTATAAACTGATGTGGTTTACTCAAATGAATTGTTTCAAATTTTCCTAGTAGACTATATGGTATGGGTTTTCTCATTGTTGAAGGCTGTATGGTTATCAATTTCATCTAGACTTTGGTGGATAGTTGTATCTTTGGCAATCATACCACCTCTTCTAATTTTTATAATGCATCAATGCAGATGTATTTCATATTCAGCTGGATCTTTATTTGAATGGACTACATGAAGTTGATTATGCTTTGCTACTAGCCATACCAATATTGGAAAAAGATTCAACAGGGTACCTGAGAACATACCAAGAAGCAAAGTAGGGTCACATGAGAGGTAGGATATGAGATGTATAAAAACATGAAGCACCAACACTGTGTAAATGTATAACCCCTGCTTGCAAAAAATGCTTTTCATAGATTTTTATTTTTTAATATTTCAATAATAATAAATTTCTTTCATAAAATGCTTTTCATTGATTATATTCTTTTTAATATTTCAAAGATAATATTGCTGGCTAGTACAAAAAATTAAAGACTGCAAAAAATTAAAATTTGAGAAAAAAAAACAAAAAATTTTTGCTCTCTCACTACCATTTTTTTTAAAGAAAGTGTTCAAAGAACAAGAAATTAATTTGGTGTGGCTTAAGATAGATAATTTGAAAATTCGATCCTAAGAGTAAGAGATTCTTGAGAATCATGTATTTTCAAAAAATTTGAAAACTTGTGCAAATTAGTTGATGTTAATAGATATCAATCACTCAACATTACCGCATCATCCAACCATTCTATCTGGACCAGAGTGTTGCTTGTTATCCCAAGGTCTGATATAGTACCATGACAATCCCTTGAATGGACAGGTAAATTGTTTGCAATATGGATAAAATAACTTTCTGTTGCATCATCCATACTGCCAATGAAGTCCTGTAGAATCTGTTATGAATAAATATGCAGGAAATCAGTACATCGAAAACAATGAGATGCACAGCATGCAAAATTGCTTCCCTTTTAAAACAAAACATAACAAGTTTGTTTTAAAAACTTGCAAGTTGGCAATCTTTTTATAAGGCAAAATTTCAGCGCCAAATTTAAACAAACCATAACAAATCTAGTATTCACATTGATTTATGTCAATACCTGTACTGCAATCTATCATCAGCTGTGTTTGTAAATTCATTTCAAGATGGATCATGGATGGCAAGATAGCAATTTCATCATGGTTAATGATACTATTTTTGAGACACAGGTAAAATAAAAGATAGTGAACAACAAATTGTTTTTTTTAATATAATATACAAAACAAACTAAAAAAATATAATCTGCACATTAAAGTTATGAATATTCTGATCATGCAGACAGTTGATTCTAGTCACTTGTTTAATAAATATGTTTCATTGATCAATTCTTTTTGAATACAGTGACCATATTGTATTTCGGACACTGACATGACAAATGAAGAGCAATCAGAGAAATTTAGTGCTCTATGATCATTAAAATAATATGCACTTTAAAAACATCAATGAAAATTAATTTAAAGATAATCTGTTGTATCAAATAGAAGGCAAAGCCAATATTGATACACCCAAAAATATTTTTTTTTCAAGTTTATAAAGAAACTGAGAAAAATTGTATTCTTATCCTATAGATTTAGAATGAATTAGTGATATCTAGATAACCATTCCAATTTGTTTAAATTTTCCAACAATTGCAAGTGGAATCATTTAAAAAAACAAAAAAACCTGGTCAGTTCAAATTTTACTAGACCACAACAGCAAAATCGCGGGGATTTAGAGCTTGGTTGATAGCTCGGAGGCCACTTCAATACTTAATTGATAGGGGGTGCCGCTGGGGTTCTGTTACCCCACCTTTTTCATATAATTTATGTATTAAAAATCTATAACTTTTCATATATTGCATAGGTAAAAATAACCCCTTTTCCAATATTGTTTGAGTTTCATGTGGTGTGTAATGTATGAAATGGAATACCCAAGTGTCAAAAGAGAAAAATTGTTTGATAAAAACACAAACGAAAAAACATCAACAAAGATGACAGTGAAGAAGTTATGAGATTTTTATTGACACCCCCCAGAGGTTGAAAGTATGTTAACTGTTTTTTAACTGGAGAATTTCAGAAAAGGTATCAAAAGTTATAGGTACTTGGAAACAGGACAATTATTTTAAGTCCTCTCCTTTTTTCCAAAGTCTGTTTTTTTTTTTGGTTTCTGTTAAATTCCATGATTTTCGTGTTTCTGTATACTATGAACATACGTATATATTATAAATAAAGTGTATTTGCTTTTATCTGTCAATTCCAAGTTACTTCTCCATGTCTATCACTGCTATATTATATAGAGGGTCTCTATATATGATCATATATTATAGGAGTATAATCACAGGCAGAATAACGCGAAAATAATTGTCATGTCCCCGAGTAAAGTTTAAAATCGAAAGTCTTGTCAATGACTTTAAAGTCGATCTGATGACGGAAACAATATCAAAAAGCTTTTTTTCCCCGTTTTTCTCCAAAAATAACTCAAACTGAATAATCATAAGAATGGATGACAAATGCGACTATGCATGGTACCTATAGGACACAGAGGCATGATGATTAATTTATTGCAGAAGGAAGAGAAGCGACACACAAAATGAGGTCTTCTCGTTTAATAGTAAAGTGCAGGTGAGGGGAATAGAACATTTTTTTTTCATTTGTGGCCCAACTGTGTAGTTTCATCAGATTCATTTCATTCGTATAGGAAGAGACTAATGACCTATGGACACTTTTGTAGGCTAGCTACAATAATTTTGTGGCAATTTTTTTTTCAACAACAGATTTCTATAAGTGTCCCCATTATTAGTAAGCAATACTCCACTAATTCTAGTTACCTGGACATTATCTTCTGGTAGAAATTTTCTTGTATCCAACATGTTTCCTCTTCTTTTTAGTTTGATTTTTATGCCAACCAAAGGTTCATCTGGCAAATTTCTCTTTCTTCTTTGTCGTGACTGAAAATAAAAAGAGGATAAGACTCTTGTTAATGATATATTTACACATTGGGCTGTTCCAAAAATAAATGCCATACATCTTAATAATATAAGGTTATTGGTATCTATACCCTTTGGATACTTAACAGTCATTTTCCAAATTAGAAGAAAGAAAATCAATTTGTTTGACCTTTTAATTCAGTAGCCTGAATCTAAGTTATATTTTTTTCAATTTTTGAAAAGTGGGGTGGGGCACTTTATATATTTACATCACAAATTATAATGTATTTTGATTCTCAATTACAATTGTCTGAATACACCTTATTGTTATTTGTTGTATATGGAAATCTGTCCTGATAAGGTGTATGATAGGTGATGAAACAAAGTACCTTTCATATATTTTTTTTCTGAAATTGCTCTTATTGTTTTTTTCACAGCTGCAAATTGATTTCCTATATGCTAAACTTGACCTACAAATTTTAAATTTATATCAAACCTCATGTAGATGTCCTTCTCTTTCTTCTATCCTCTCTCTGTCTGCCCTTAATCTTTCTTCTATCCTCTCTCTGTCTGCCCTTAATCTTTCTTCCTGAAATGACAGTGAAATGATCATGTCATAAACGGTCTCACAAATGCAACACTTTTAAATGATTGAACACAAGAAGGTCCTTCTTTTGTATGTAACTTTTAAAACATTAAATACTACAGATATGTTTGTTGGTAATCTTGTTATATTATTGCAAATTAAAATTTTCTACAATGAAATGTGTTTAAACATGCATAATTACTAGAACCATATTTGACTGAACTTGCACCCTAAAATCCTTAAGTAAGTGTTTTCTGAATCTCAAAGTAAGCATAAAACATTGATTTTAGAAAAAAATACCTAATATCATGTGATTTTATAGTTTGTATCAAAATGTAATATCAACCCTATTAAGATAAAACTGGGATGAGATTTTAGTTAAGTTTGGACGAGTTATAAAATTTGGATATGTTTGGCTGTAAAGTCTATTTTACAAGATAACGCAGTTCTGTTGTAAACGAAATCATTCATTTATCATTGTAAGAAACAACACATCATGAAACTGGATACCTGTATATTTGTGTTGCTTTGTCAACTTTATTTCATTCAAGAAAATTGATATTTCATTGTGTTTTTTAATATTGTAGCAACCTACCAGTCTATCTTGTACACAATCGTTAAGCAAGCGTTTTCTGAATCTGAAAGTACGCTTTACCCTAGATTTAATTACAAAGCAAGCGTTCTGAATATACACCGTGGTCCAATAGAAAAATAAAGCTAGATTCACACCAAATATGATATCTTTGATCCAAACGAAAGACAAAGCTAACTATTAAACCACCAAATATGATATCATCCTATCCAATAGATAGATCTGACCAAATATGAGGAGCCTAACAGACTAGGGAAATGCAATATAGTCCACTCTGATGTATGATTGAGATGTCCCTGTAGGATGATAACATACTTTCTCCAGATCTGATTTCAAACTTTGCTGATATTCTTTATTTTGTAGAGCAAGAAGAGCTCTTCTGTCCACCAATGTTTCATTCTGAAAATAATAAGTTCCCGTTTTCAAATAATTCCATTTTACTTTTTGTTGTCAATGTCTATTTCATCATTTCTTTTTTAACTTACAGTCAGGACTCTACTTCGTCAAAATTATCTCCCCATTACGCCAGTTCATTTTTACAATCGTAGAAATGGAAGCTATTGTAGGGATGAGGCGCTGCCAACTTAGCTCTTGAAAATCGATAAATCTATCCACATAACACCATTAAGATCCTTAAATGTCAGTTGTATTTTAAAAGACAAATGTATCTACTAGCTAATGAGCATCAGTTAATGTTCTTGTCTGCATTGAGTCAACTTAAAACTATTGTCTGATTGGTTGTCAGGTGGAATTTTCGAAAATAAAGACTATAAACCCTAATTATCACACACAAAAAAATATGTTTTTTTCGTAGATATGCATTTTTACCATCCAACTTATAAGACTGTCGTCAAGTACTTTTAGTAAAATTAGCTATTTGAACACACCTACTCTGTTTTTGTGATTCATTAGAAAGGTATTTCACTTGACCCATTTATTTCATCTTTTAGTACTGTGAATTTTTTATGTTATAAATTCAACATGTAGCCTTGATATATAAAAATGATAGAATCTGAAGCGAGCTGATGTATCAAATACTCTTGCTTTATACGTTTTCAAGACGAAATATTCAACTCAAACACGCCCTAACGTAAAAAGCTACTCTCAATTTTCTCTTTTCGATACAATTGTTTCCCATTTTTTTGAAATTTTTCTTGAGTTACATAATGAAAGGGCAGACACGAAAATTACTGAACTAATAGATTGATATGTTGTCAATCCGTGGTAATTTAAAAAAAAAAATTTGGAGGTTATGCATTTTCTACACCAAACTTGATAGATACCCATGTCGTCGACTTGATATCTAATTGTTTTGCTCAACTTTGTAATGGATAAATTGAAAACTTAGGCAAATAGTGTTTTTAAAATAAAATACTACGTAATTGAGCAGAAATTTTGTTACTATAGTAAACATTACAGTAAGCATTTACCGCCTTCTTTAACAAAAAGCTTCGATTCTGTTGTTCTATTTCAACCAGGTTTCCACCTGCTTAACCATGACAATACATCCAAATAGAAGAGCTTACAAATAAAGTTAAGAGAACAAAAATGAAAAATTAAGCAATTTAAAAGGGGCATAACTCTAGAACCGTTAAAGTGATACCACCAACATTCCAGCTTGATCCGTGTTTTGTGGTACAAGTATAAATAAACATTGTGCATAAGTTTCATAACATTTGGTTACGGCAAGCTAAAGTATACAGAACAGAAATGGAAAAAAATCAGCAATTTTTCCACTGTAAAGGGTCACAACACTAGAATGGTTAAAAAGCAAAAATAGAACAATAAGAACATATCTGCAAGTTGGGTAAAATACTGTTTGATGGTTTTAAGAAATAAGAGGCTCTCAGAGTCTGATTCCCTGACATGTTATTTTTTGCTTAAAATCTTTCCACAATGATAAATAATTTTGCTGTTAAATATATATTATTGAGGGTCTTAATAATTGCACTTTAATTTTCTTGTATCTGCAATATTTTCTTCAAAAGCGGAAAAAATGCATTTTACCCCCTATGTTCCATTTCAGCCATAGCGGCCATGTTTTTTGAAGAAACAGAAAATAAAACACAAACTTTTTTCTAGATACCCTAAGGATCATTCAGCTTAAGTTTGGTTTGAACTGGTTAGTATTTTCAGAGGAGGAGATTTTTTAAAGTTAGAAAACATGATAAACAAATTGTGCAAAATTAACCTTAAAATGCAATAGCTCCTTACGGGGTAAATTGACAATTTTGGTCATATCAACTTATTTGTAGATCTTACTTTGCTGAACATTTTTGCTGTTTTACAGTTTATTTTTATCATTAATAATATTCAAGATAATAACCAAATACTGCAAAATTTCCTTTAAATTACCAACTTAGTGGCAGCAACCCAACAATGGGTTATCAGAAAATTTCAGGGCTGATAAAACTTTACCTAATGAACTTTTAACCCTTATCAGATTTGCTCTAAATGCTTTGGTTTTTGAGATATAAGCCAAAAACTGCATTTTACCCCTATGTTCTATTTTTAGCCATAGCGCCCAAGTTTTTGGACCATTCAGCTAAAGTTTTGTAGGAATTGGTTCAGTAGTTTCAGAGGAGATGATGTTTGAAATAGTTTACACCAGACAGACGATGAGGGACGCCAAGTGATGGCAAAAGCTGCCAGTTCCTTCGAAACTGTTAGCTAAAAAAGACTAAAATATGAAAAGGTAGTGGGCAGAAGGAAAGACAGTAAATGAACACAAAGGTTTAGCAATAGCTTCCACCAACCTTTGGCAAGGATCAGCCAAAAAAGTATCTTATCCTAATCAATAATTAGTGTATCGTGACATCCACCATACTTATTGGTCATTATGTTGTGGGTCTCTTGAAAAGCTGTATTGATGAATTATTATTTTTTTCATGTTATACAGAAACAAAAATATCAAGAAAAAAGTTTTGATAAGGCTTACAAACCTCAACTGTAACAGCCTCATCTTCCGCAGATGTTACTGTAGATGTTCTAATTGATATTCTTGGCAATGTACTGTCAAATGAGCCACTAGTCTGCAAAAAAATAATAAATCAGTCTTCATTGGGATTTTTTTAATAACTTTCAGTTTGGATAAAAGATGAAAATTAGATGGGGAAATAATAAAAAAATCTCCAAGCCATTTATAAATTTTACTGCAAAAAAAAAAATCGTTCACAATATATTTAAGATGTGGTATGAGCGCAAATTATAAAACTCTCCATCCAAGTCCCATTTTTTAAACGTAGACCATTATAGGTCAAAGTAGCCTTGGCTCATACTGAACAGCAAGCTACTAAGGGCCCCAAAATTGACTACTGGAAGACTATTCAAACATGGAAACCAACAGTATAATCTATATATAAAACTAGAGGCTCTAAAAAGCCTGTGTCACTCACCTTGGGGTATGTGCATATTAAGCAAAGGACATAGATGGATTCATGACAAAATTGTGTTTTGGTGATGGTGATGTGTTTGTAGATCTTACTTTACTGAACATTCTTGCTGCTTACAATTATCTCTATCTATAATGAACTTGGTCCAGTAGTTCCAGTGGAAAATATTTTGTAAAAATTTACAAAAATTTACAAAATTTATGAAAATTGTTAAATATGGACTATAAAGGGCAATAACACCTAAAGGGGTCAATTGACCATTTAGATCATGTTGACTTATTTGTAGGTCTTATTTTGCTGTACATTATTGCTGTTTACAGTTAATCTCTATGTATAATAATATTGAAGATACTAACCTAAAGCTGCAAAATTTTCTTAAAATTACCAATTCAGGGTAGCAACCCAACAATGGGTTGCCTGATTGGTCTGAAAATTGGTGATAAATAATTTTACCCCATGTCAGATTTGCTCTAAATGCTTTGGTTTCAGAGATATAAGCCAAAATCTACATTTTACCCCTGTGTTCTATTTTTAGCCATGGCAATCATCTTGGTTGGTTGGCCTGGTCACCAGACACATTTTTAAACTAGATACCTCAATGATGATTGTGGCCAAGTTTGGTTAAATTTGGCCCAGTAGTTTCAGAGAAGATTTTTGTAAAAGTTAACGACGAAGAAAGACGACGGCCGCCAAGTGATTTGGGCCAGGTGACCTAAAAAAGAGGAGAAAAAGGGGAGAAAAACATCAAGAATGGAAAAAACATCAAATCAAATTCAAACTTCCATAACAGCAGGTGCACAAATTTCTATAGAGTTTCAGAGATCTGGGTTAAAGTAGTTGTTGTTGTTGTTTATTAAAAACTGAAACCGGTACACTTCTTTACAATTTTTGCCAAAAATTCCCAAGTCTAAAAAATGTGGAAAAAAAATTCCAAATAAGAACGGACACACTCAAATATATGTACTAACCTGCAAAGGTGTAATTAATGTTGACCTATTATTTAAACTACAATTCAGGTTACAGGTCAGTTCCTAGAAAAAAATATAAATCATGTGATCATAATTTTTTTTCATCTATTTGTTTTTTCGTAGAAATACATGTAGCATACCCATCCCAATTTCATTATTAGTCTGTTTAAGATACAATTAAATAAATGGATGCTTGTATGTCTGAATGAAATTATAAGCCTGCTAAAAAGCATGTATGACATCGCACATCAAAGAATTTCTAAATTTTCCAATTTAATATACATGTGTATGCCCTTATTTTAAATATATAAACAGCTGCGACATGAGCACATGATACGCCAATCAAATTTTCAAAGAATAAAGTTCTATTACTTCTCAATGTCATATTAAAAATTCATGAAAATCAAAAAGGAGCTTACATCAATAGATATAAACAATTAACCAAAGATTTATGCAAATTGGTTCAAGTTTTTTTTTAGTTAATGTCAGACATATTGACAACGGACTGACAAACAGAAGGTCAACGGTATACCATAATACGTCCTGTAAACAGGCGTATAAAAAGGTGCAATACTTTTTTAAATTAAACATATTCATGTCAAAAGCTTATGTTTGCCTCTAGCTGCAATAGCCAAGAGAATATTGCTACAGGGATTTTGCCAAATCGGCAAAGTAGCTACAGAGATCATTAGTGTTTTATGCCCATTTTTCTAATTTTCTTTATTACCTACCTCAATACAAAGAGCTGAAATATCAGATACAGGTCTTATAAAGAGACTCCCACTCTTGTTTTCTCTTTCCATGTATGTTTTTATTCTTGATGGACTGTTTGTATCATTTGGTAATGGTACCAAATAGGATTTATCCACTAGAAACAAACCAAACTGAACTTTTTTCAGAACAGGGAAACTTTCAAAAAGAAAGTTTTTAAGTTGTTCCCATGACCAATCAAGACTGAGCTTACTTGGTACCCTCTTAGAAGGAGTCATTTCAGCATCTGGATATCCTAAGAAAAAAAATACTGTCTTACAAATTAAATTAGATGGTAGTTTTCCATGGAAAACATACAACACCAAGAAACAAAAAGTTTCAACAGGAAGTTGATGAACAACAGAAATAATAACAGTATACACTTTTTTTTTATAGCACATTGGGATAAAGGGCTAAGCCAAATATAAAGTTAGTGCCCCATTTCAGAGCAATTGAAATACTTATACACAAGTTAATACATTGTATACTGAAAGTAGAAAAATGCTTGTTTTGGACCCCTTTTGGGCCCTTATTCCAAAACGGTTGGGACCATCATCCCCAAAATCAATCCTCACTCTCCCGTTGTGGTATTGAACCTTTTTATTAAATTTCATAGAGATCTATTCACTTAAACTAAAGTTATTGTCCAGACACCAAATGTGTCTTTGGACGATGCAGACACATCATACCATTATACAATCCAATTTTTTTTTTAGCGGTTGTATAAAAATATATTACTATTACTTACAATTTCTGTATGACATTTAGAATCAGTGTTGAAGGTAAGGCAAAAAAAAAAAGTTTTTTTCCCTGCTACCCGACTGACCTAAAGTTTTTTTTGAGAAAATAAAATATAAGAAAACTAGAGGCTTTCAAGAGCCTGTGTCGCTCACCTGTATTTACTGATGCTTTGGAAATCATGTAAAATAAGGTTAAAATCATAATTAATAGTATTAGATATTAGATATTATAATGATATCTAAGATAATAAAAAAAACTGCAAAATTTTTGTAAAATTACTAACTCAGGGGCAGCAACCCAACAACGGGTTGTCGGATTTTCGTCTGAAAATTTCAGGGCAGATAAATCTAAATCTGATGAACATTTTTGCCACCTGTCAGATTTGCTCTAAATGCTTTAGTTTCAGAGATATAAACCAAAAACTGCATTTTACCCCTATGTTCTATTTTAAACCAAGTCGGCCATGATGGTTGGAAGGCGGGGTCATCGGACAAATTTTTTTAAACTAGATACCCAAATAATGATTATGGCCAAGTATGGTTAAATTTGTCTCAGTAGTTTCAGAGAAGAAGATTTTTGTAAAAGATTACAAAAATTTACAAAAAATTGTTAAAAATTGACTATTAAGGGCAATAACTCCTAAAGGGGTCGACTGACAACTTTGGTCATGACAACTTATTAGTAGATCTTACTTTGCTGAACATTTTTGCTGTTTACAGTTTATCTCTATCTATAATAATATTCAAGATAATAACCAAAAACTGCAAAATTTCCTCAAAATTACCAATTCAGGGGCAGCAACCCATCAACAGGTTGTCAGATTTGGGTGAAAATTTCCGGGCAGATAGATCTTGACCTGATAATGAGTTTTACCTTATGTCAGATTTACTCTAAATGCTTTGGTTTCAGAGATATAAGCCAAAATCTACATTTTACACCCTATGTTCTATTTTTAGCCATGGCGGCCATCTTGGTTGGTTGGCGGGGTCATCGGACACATTTTTAAAACTAAATACCCTAATGATGATTGTGGCCAAGTTTGGTTAAATTTGGCCCAGTGGTTTCAGAGTAGAAGATTTTTGTAAAAAGCTAAGGACGACAGACGACGGACGCCAAGTGATGAGAAAAGCTCACTTGGCCCTTCGGGCCAGGTGAGCTAAAAAAAGAAATGTAGATTTCATCACAGTAGTCAGACGGGCTAGTCAAAGTTTTGTTTAAAACTAGGATTTCACAAAATTTTGATTGTCATCAAGTCTCAGAATTTTCCCTGACCTTTGCTGTCAGGCCTTTATTGCACAGTTTATTCACTTTTATTTTGATTGTCAGACATTTTTAACATGAAAAGTACTTTTTGGGGAGGGGAAAAAAACGGAAACAATGATGTTTCTTAATACATTGAAAACCACATGTGTTAAAAACCCCGTGACGATTCTGATCAGAAACTTGTAACTTAAAAGTGCTGTCATGTTATCAAAATAATAACATGAAAAGGCAATTATTATGCAACAGAATTTTATACCTGAAAAAATGAAGATAAAATGAAAAAATAAAGTAAAATCATTTCTTACCTACCTACCCTTTTTTTTCTGGCTGGTAGCAGGAAACAGCTATTTTTTTTTGGGCCTAACAATAATTAATGGCCAAAGGTTAAACTTTATGCAATTATGGCCAATCATTCATTAACTGAAAATCTAACAGCCTTTACAAATCTTACCTAATCCAAGTCTCTTCAGTTGAGATACATTAAGGTTGTTCACTCTGGTGATAGGAGCGGCTAAACAAGTTATCTTTATAGCCAGCACGGCGGTAGGCCTCCCTCTTGACCTCTTGACCTCTTTAGAAGTACCCAATCTTCTATTGGATTCAAATGTTGTCGACAGCCTATCGGCTATACCAACAACATTTGAAGGTGATGTACGGGCCTGAATGTTTTTTTTAGATGCAGAAACAAACTTATGTACCATCTGCACAGTTCTCTCTATCCTATTGAGATACTGTCTTTGGCGCCGTCCTGAAATAAAAATATTAAAATACAAAAATTAACAATATAAATAAATTCACGAGGTTCCATAAATAATTAAATGCTTTTCTGAGCGCAGTCTGCTATGACCACAGAGGTAGAACCCCAGACATGTGACAGAGTTGTCAAGCCACAACTGGAGATTTGGAAATTTTCAGCTGGAGTTTGGGCCTCATAACTGGAGATTTTTTTATCGACCTTTTTATCGACGTACGCAAGGTTTTGTTGTGTGTTTAAACTGCATATCTTCCTTTTTTATTAAAAGAACAACAATTCCATACCTTTAAACACCTGCATATCCATTTTTACTTGATAAAAATAGAAGATAAGGGGTTTTCAAATATTTATTCAGTCTGCGACGTTAAGCGGTAGCCCGAAGCCCCTGTCTAGTAAAAATCTCATCGGACTTGTGCAGAAGCACTGGTGTTTGCCCGACCGGTCTTGTGAACATCTGAAATCGTTTGCAAAATTGTAGCCGGTATTTTATTGAATCTATGAAAAATAAGTTACAAATTTGTCGCCGACCTTGTTTTCTTCCGTTAACTGGTATCCCTATTTAATTATATACGGTTGTTCCCCCTTCTTATCAAAGGGAACCAGTCGTCAACGCGATATACCCAATCACCAATGAAATGGTACAAGTTTATGGAAAAAAGATTTTTTTTTTGCAAAAGAACTATTCTAATTTTTTATTGGAGAAAATGAGAATTTTACATTTGACCTGGAGAAAAATACAACAATTTTTGATAAGTTATATTCACTTACAGATACAAAAATGTAACCTCAGAATGCAGGATTTTACATCTAATTTTCCAAAATTTTCTTGGGGGGCATGCCCCCAAACCCTCCTAGAAGGTTCGGATCACTTCGTGATCCTCACCAGTGACACAAAATTTTTCAGGTCTAGTAAACATCAATTCGGGCTAGTAATATTTTTTTTCAAATAGCCCTATGGGCTAGTGCTTTGAAAAGTTTTTGGCACAGACTGATTTATTTATTATGTATAATTCAAGATAAAGTGATCAGCCATCATACATAGTTGGCAAAAAGTACCTCTGACTAAGCTACATTGTCAACTTTGGTACATGTACCACTAGTGAACATGCTTGTAACAGAAGGTGTTAAATTGATAGAGTTGTAGGCTTGCTGGGGAGTAACTGTCTCCATAAGTTTGGTCAAGTCATTAGGGTCACCATAGTCAGCTTTGCATGAAGTGTGGTAAGCATGGTCCTGACCCTTGGTACAAGATCTGCACCATTTGAAATCAGATCTCCAGGCAGAGTTGAATTTGGCTAGATACTTGGTCTTCTTTTATTCGCTGCTGGGGTATTTGGTGATAAAATACGGTTTGCATTTTGTCAAATTCTAAAATTTTAGAATTGTCCAAGACAACTATACTTATATAGGTATTCCATTGGCTTGTATAGAAAACAAGCCATAAATTTCATATTTGAGTTGATTTCATTTGTCTTTGAGGTTCAGTAAATGTTCCATGTTTTCAACAGCATCAAATTAAATCTTTTCTATACAACTTGTACAATTTAATCCTTTGTCAGTATTTCACTTTATATCTACCAGGCTTGTGTCTTAAACTAGCTAGTTGATCACTAGGTAATTGCCTATTATCTTTTATTTATTGTTGTATATACAGTCTAATCCTAAACACCTCAGGCAAATTTTACCTATTTTACCATTATAAAAATCAATGACAGGAAACTTCCGTTTTTCTCAGACTTTTCCCATATCACTTTCGAGTTTCTCTGACTTTTTCTCTGTCCTAATCGATTTTGTAAACAAAAATATCTACTGAAAATTTTACGAGGTTGACATTTTCAAAAAGCGGAAGATTTCAAATTTTAACGGAAGGGACGGAAGAGGGTCTGAAAAACGGGAGATTTTGACTCCCGCCGTAAGAATCACATGTATGGCACCCTGAACAGTTTGGGCAAATTTGGACACAATATTCAAGCTTAATACTGTCTGAATTTAGATTATCAAATTTTTAACATTCAAGTTAACGGACACAAAATAAATGTGGTTAAAGATCTTTCAAATGGTATTGAAAAGTTGGTAGTTCAAATTTTCGCCATGGTTAAGTGAATTATGATTAGATTACCGTGAAGAGGAACACTGTGGGGGATATAAAATTAGTTTAGTGTTAAAGGAAAATATTCACTAAATTGATTCATATAAGGTAGGGATTTTTTGCATTAATTCAAAGGGTAGAAAAAGTGTCTGAAGCAGAGACTGTCGTGACTTAAAAAAAAATTTGTTAGCCACCTTCTTTTTATATGGATAGTCGACTTCCAATGGATAGAAACAAGTGCCTGTGGTTAGTGGTTGTACATGGTTATCGGCATGTTTTATTTTATTTTAACATTGTGAAAATATTTTAAAGCTGTGTTTTTCTTTGAATAAGTTGCATTTCCATTCAATATTTAAAAAGCACCTTGTTTTTGTATTTTCCTTGTCCAATGACTGATGTCACT